CTGCAAAATTTCTTTTGTACGCTTGAAATCGGATGAAGTGGACTTAGCGAAAAACACGGTTAAAAAGTCCACTGAGTACAAGTCTAAATATCAAAACTATCAAAGGTGCAGATTGTATAGAAATGACCATTCTTCTAAACCTACGAAACTCAGTTTATTTAAAATCACTTATTGTGAGACATGAACCTTCAAGAATCAGATAAGTCAATATTGTGTTAATATTATTTCGTTTATATTTCTGCACTAGAACCACTAGTCTGACCAGATAAAATGATAATTGACTTTTAACATTTATTGATGCACTTTCTGTTCGTAACTTCTTATATTCAGGTTTACAGCAATTTCTTCATTAAAAACCAGAATATTATGTATGCTTTCGATTGAATTACAAATAAAAAAGGCCGAAAGGCGGTCACGTAAGATGTGCTTTAGGTTAATGAGTAACAATTACGAAAGTTACATAGCGAACTGTTTACAGGGGAATAAAACTTTTGAATGTCATTAGAAATTTTACAGACGAGCCACTCAAATGTAAACCGTTTGCGCACCATGCTCTAGTGTTACTGGCTTTGAACATCCAAATCATACACCAAATTATTCGGTAAGTCTTAAGTTTTAGAGTGGAGTGGTTGATTATCTAGTCTAATCTCTATTAGCGAGCGAAATTCATTATAGAACGCACAATACAAACAGAAGGCTAGAGCGACATGCTCAATTAAATACAATAGCTGGTGGTTGATGACGAGTATTGAGTAATCTGAGATCTTCATGTTCTGATAACCGACACCTATTAATGAAGCGTATTGGGTGCTCTCTTGCAGATTAACCCCATTATTATCAAGTTATTTCATTCTAGTGATGCTTAATTAGTGGAAAGGAAATAAAGGGGTCATAATAGCAAGGCAGTTATGGTAATCCTTAGTGACGTAATAAAGATAATAAAAAAACAAGAATCTGACAAAATAATTTAAATCCTCACGCTCTAAAACATTCTCTATTAGAAACTGCGTTACGGATTCAATATTTATATTAACCCGTTACTAGTCTTAATTTCTCGTTACATAAAAAGATAGCTCTCCACTCTATTAACTTGAACGAAACGCTTGTCCAGTTCTACATAGTATTGGTCGGCTTATTAATAAAGCAGTGTTCTGGACAGAATATTTCACCTTCCAGGTTAATTTTATGTTGTTTACATGATCATAATATATACAACTGAAGGTTTTAAAAGTCTATTTGTTTTAACACATCAATGACTGATCTCAGAGGAGTAGGTGATCAAAGCTAAGGAAAGTGGACTAGAAGCATATTCTTCAATCAAATGTCTGAAGGTTATGGGTTTCAGCCCATGTGAAGTCATCAGTGCAAATTGTAAGGGGTCTCCAAATAAAGTCAAAACTATCTAACGGTACAATTCTTTTCAGAGGTTTTTCAGCTGATGCTACATAGAGATAGAAACTATATTCGAATTATGGATTCCACTCATTGCTAAAAATTTGACTCATGTCACTTATCTGATATTACAAACAGAGTATCAAAGGCTTTAAGGTGCGATACTACATACTCGTTTGGCCAACATGAAACCTCCTTCGTAAGTACGAAAAACTGTTTCGTTTTGGATTTTAATGAAAGTAAATTCAAAACGTACTGTTATATGGTTTTGCATATTTTATCATTCCCCCACTTCAAGATAGCCACGAATACCAAAACATTATATGGTTTTGAAATGACAGTATACATGAGTGTCGCGTAATGTAATATTTGAGCGGAAGGGTTTACCATAAAACTACGTTCGTTAGTGATGGAAGCAGACCACTATAAAATAATATTTAGATGGAAGTTAAGAAGGAATTACATGCTATTTCCTACTGTAGGTTTCAGCTTTGAAATTTTATCTATGACATAACTGACTAGTTCCCCTTTGTAAAAGATAAGTTTTGGAGAAATCTCATGGCGTAGAATAGAGCAGTTAGGAAAAGCTCTCGAAGAAGCGTCTATAAATACTATAAGTGGAAAATGAGGTTAGTGTAGGGAGTCATTTGATCTCATGAGTCACAGATTTCTAGAGATATGTGAAAGAGATCAGTGCAGCGCTACAGATTTATTGAGCCCATACTTGAAAAATCCTATCGTGTACGCGGCCGCAAACTATATGAGTGTTCTTTTAAACGTATCTAGCTATTTAGTTAGAGTAGTATACTCTGAAAAATGTGAAGTTAATAGTTCAAACCTCAGTCTACCTAGGTGGCGACGTATGAGTAATTTTTTGAGTGTTTTCGTAGTTCATCACATTATTCCTCACAGATGTCATAAATCCAGTAAACAGGACAAAAACCTACTTCTATATCTAAACTAAATGGAATTATGACTTAATCACAGTTAAAATTTTGATGAACGTTAAACAAAGTCTTTTAATAAGAAAAGATAATCAAATATATTCTCAAATAAATAAATTAAGGTTCTTTTTCATATTGATTAGACATGTCTGGAATGTAAAGAACCCAAAAACCATTTAAACCCAGAGATAGTCCTGTAAAACTAATAAGTTTACTAGACTGAATGACATCTGGTTAACACATGTAAAGAAATTTGCAAAACACTTTCTAAAATTTCGAAGTTTTCACCATGGCCTATAGTTTCATATGGACATACAAAACTCCAGCTGGTTAATCAGAGGCTAAGGAGAAACGTGAAACACTCATGTCACTACTATGTGGTTGTTATTGATATACAAAACCAGTCCTTAAAATTATCCATTGGAGTCTATCAAGTTTCTGTTTGCACACATCAATCAAATGCTTGCTGGTATCGCACTAAAACAGAAATAGATGATGTAGTACATTCTTCCGCAATATTTTTCTTATCGGTTTAACATGATTTTCAATAATAGAAGGAAATAATTGGATTTATATTTATCTTATTCTACCTTCAGTATCTGCCAACATAGTTTTTCGAACTACTAACATTTAGGACTTGAAATTAACTAGAAGGCGCACAATTTTCCTGTTGTTGCCAGGTAATTATGTCAAGTAATTAACAACACCTTATACTACAGACTTATAAATGTGACTGAAATCAGTGTCAAGGGCTTGCAGATAAATATTCTTAGGTAGTACATGGATACATGCATAAAAGGACATTAAGTAACAGTATAGATTTTGAAGGGGCTATGAATTTCCTATGAAGTGAATTCGACTAAGATAAACAAACCTAAGAAACTAAAAAGATAAGGTTCAACAACTTAACACATTCATGTACGTCGAACACTAAAATATAATAGAATATGTTGAATTTTTGTTATATCCTTTGGCCCACTTTGGATATTAAGGTGACAAAAAGTAGAAGTACATCCTGAGAAGTTCAAGGGAAATAACTGTTTAGTATGATATCTATTGGGTAATTTCTTGTCTTATTATAAGCAGGGTGAATTGAGGAAGGAATGCAAACAAGTACATGTAATCAAGAAAAAAAGCCAACAGAATAAAATACAACTCAGTTTATTAATCTTAAAAAAAGTTCTACAAAAGCATCAACGTGTCTTCAAAAAGGCCTAAAATTTTCAATACTTAAAAGATGGAAATATTAATTATCCGTCTTGTCACAAGGCAGAACAAATTGTGCTTTTATGATGGTGTTCCAAATTTTATAAACAAACACAACTTAATATGCCTTCATTATCCACCATAATCTGAAGCTAGTTGTTTTTTTAGCTGACTAATAACCATCGTAAAACGCTTCTACTATTTGTAATGTTTATGCTTAACGATCGTTTTTATCCCCAGTATAACAATCCAATCATCATGTTTTCATTCGTTACTCTCAATTAATAACAAAAGAATACGTAAAAGGATACACATATCAGGTGCGTTGATCTATTAGAGAGAACAGTTAATTAGCCAACGTGATCTTAACGCCTGAAATTAAATGAAGTTATAGTAGGGATCACAGCCCAGTCAGTTTGAGCTAAACCACTGAAGCCATTTAGAGTCAAACTTACAATAAAACTTGTCTTTAAACCGTCTTAACATCAATTTCAATCAAAAAACGAAAAGAAAGGTTCAAGAAATTTTACATCACTCATAGAAGTCAGACAAAATTACTACAGAAAGCAAGCTTAACAAACTACACAGAAAACAAAAGACAGAACAAATGCTACATGAGACGCCATTTTTAGTCGAATATACTTTTAGCTTTTGTTAGGAATTCCTTAAGGCAGTCATAGAAAAATTCGTAGGTATCTTGTAATTCATGTGTTGTGTATCGATTTTTACAGCTAAGTTGAAGTACTTTTCAATGAATTAAGTATGTTCTGGTAGCTGCCAGTAGGCAAGAAGTACGTACGGACTATGTGCGCACAACAATCGAGGCTCAAAAACATGAGGACAGGACTAGACCTTTCATAAGAAGGTGCATACATGTGAAAAGGAATTTGTAGACAGCTAACCCTAACCGTCAACTGTAAATCATAATTCCAATTCCTTACATTAGTTCATAACCCTCATTTAGTCCTAGTGTGTAGGTGGATATTCTTAAGGCCACTTAAGCGTAGCTCAAAGGTCGTCCATACATTTCAGTCTAACCCAATTTCTTCCTAATTAATATGTGTTCAGGACTAAAATAGATATTTTGGATCTGAATTGTTAGTTTGTGACCAAAGAAAAAAATCCTGTTTTGGCCTTTATCAGTATGTTCATGAAGGTTTTTTTGGTTTTTTACATTGTGGGTCAGCCAGGTAACAATACTACTTCTGATCTTGAAAATAAGAGGCTTACGTTTAGAAGAGTCTGAAAGGACAAAGTTATCTTGGTAAAAGAACAAAAATGACTCTAGGTTGACACAAAAAGTCCGAATCACACCATACAAAATCTTGCCTTATTTACTGGGAAGTATTTAAACTAAAACACCAAAAATGAGAGCTGGTTGAATTATGCGGCGTTAAGACTGTTATGTTCAACGTCCTCATTAGACTCGGATAACGTAGATAAAGTAGACTGACTTACTATTTCTTAATAGAAAAAGTAAAGTGCTAGAAGATACAGGAGGGAATATAAAAGATGTGTAGAGAAGTGCAGCTTATAATGTGTTTAGAAAGATAGATCCAATAACTTCATGATCGAGTAGTGTAAGTTGATTTATTAATTACTTGGTCAATTGAATCAATAGATATGTTCACGTGTGGTAAACAAAACAAAAATAGAAGGACAATGTATGAATAACAGATGGACTAACGTGATGAAAATACTGATTTAACGTATTCAACCGAGAGATTGTACATCTTCGTTAGTGGTGAAGTAAGAGCTACGATCAATATATTGTTGCTTGATTTCCCGTATAGCCTCTAGTGATGCTTAATGACTTCGTGAATTAGAGTTCACGTATTTAAGACTAAAATAGACATTTCATTAAGATATGTTCAATGATTTTAATCTTATGACTGTGTGTTGTTGAAATTTTGGTCTTATGTGCTGCATGACTAGCAGTGCTGCAAAACATGCAGAAAGCTTGGTTCCAACTTGTGGAAGATGAACAGGGCTACCTACGGGCACCAGTTTAGATTTTGAGGATAGCGTTAAAAGTATCAAGGCTCTACTTTGTATCTCAAGGTCCATGTAACACATATTAGGCGAACCATACTTTGTTGAGATACAGCCTAGGTTGTAGGGTAAAATCGAAAAATTGAGCAACAGTCTTACAAGATGGCTGAGTGTGTTTTTATCTTCCTCTGATTTCAACAAAAAACATCCACCTTGCCTTTGCGTTTTTACTCTTCAGGTTGTAAAGGTTTTTATGCATGGTCTGTCATGTAACGACATCTATGACTCAGAAATACTTGGTGCAGTAAGCTGAACAAACGGAGTGAGAATAATTATAGCACGTCAATTACTTGCTTTCTTCTTCATGAACGAGATCTTCTATCTTGAAGAATGAGAATACATTTGCAAAAACTGTAGAGCGCAAACAATCGACAGCTGTGTACGAAGTGATTTAATTAGACCTATGATAAGTTCTTTCTGTTGGTGGTGTATATCATCCGGAGCTGAGTCGTCTTGAAATACAGTACATTTTATTCATATTCGAGTTTGTGAATCAAGCAAAAAGCATCCATTATAATAAGTTCTCAATTATTAAATTTCTTATGCACCAACATAGTTTAAACAAAGTGTTAAATGGACAGATTCTAGTTTCCACGATAACAACTGTCTAATTCATTCGTTCTCTCGACTCAACAGGCGCCTTGATCGTGCGGCAACAAAGTGTTTGTTGAAAATATAGTATTTCTAAAAATTCCACGTGTTTCATACTACTTACATCAAACCGTAAGCAAATAACATTACATGAACCATGCGTCCATTTTACAATGTGTCAATTGTGACCTAGCTAGGTTCACACACCAATATCCCTTATTTCATTAGAATAACTTGACTTGCTTTGAAGCTCTGCATTTATTGCATGCAAGATGTCTTTCATTGCAATATGACATTTTTCATAAATTTAAATAACGTAAGTCTCTGTACTGGTTAGCGTTTTTTTAGCGAGTTAGTTTTCTACGGGATGGGGACGCTAACAACGTACTGTGGGAGAGAACAAACCAGATCCCAGCGGAGGAAGAAATCAGGGAGAAGCGCTGGAAGTGGATAGGACACACATTCAGGAAAGCACCCAACTGCGTCACAAGACAAGCCCTCACATGGAATCCTGAAGGTCAAAGGAAAAGAGAAAGACCAAAGAACACATTACGCCGAGAAATGGAGATAGACATGAGAAAAATGAACAAGAATTGGATGGAACTAGAAACGAAGGCCCAGGACAGAGTGGGTTGGAGAATGCTGGTCAGCGACCTATGCTCCCTTGGGAGTAACAGGCGTAAGTAAGTAAGTAAGTAAGTCTCTGTACTACTAAAAAATAACTAGTGTCAGCAACCAAAGTCGATTATTTTATGATAGTTCTATACACACTGGTTCTTTAGTTTGAAATTCTACGATATTATTTTAAAGAAGCATTAATTTCCTGATTACTTTGTTTTCTTTCTTAGATGGTCTCTCAAGAGGTGATTACAGGCGAGAATGCTAATGGTTGAATTGTATGCATTTAAATTAAGTTTCACTTAGTGTGTAGAATTATGGTCTACTATGATATTAGTAATAGACCTAATCCTAAATCGTAGATTCGTCATGATATAAATGCCTAATCTATAAGATCTTGCATGGAAGGTACAGTGGAGTGTGGGATTTTTTGTTCAGACAAACAAAGACTCTCAATATTTAATATAAGACAGTAGGAAATATAACGCCTATGCAAGATAAGGAAGTGAGTGAATAATTGAACTATACTGTTTTGACATGTGCTTAGTTATTTGAGGAGAACTCTTAACAAACCAACCTAAACTGGTACCAATATACTTGTTACAGGGAGACATTTTTAAGTTCGTTCTTGTTACAGTTAGTGTAGTGGCGTGTCTAATTATTTATGAGTCGTCTTTGCACGGAACGCTGCTAGATAGTGAAATGTATAAGGCTTTAAACAGTATCAAGAATTTACGCGATGTGTAATACAAGTTGGTACTCATGAAAATAAATGGTTATAAAATGTACTCAATCTGCGGAATTTACAAATCTGCTAGTTTTAAATAATTTACGTGAATTCAGCTTTATGCAGTCTGCGTCAATACAAAAGTTGGGCCTGAAATACCATTGTTGAATTGAATGTAGTAATAAGCATGGAGCCATTCTCGGGAGGTCACGATAAAACATGCGGATCTTTTCACGTTTTAATTCAACGAATTCACGAGCTGAAAGAAAACGTGTGTATAAACTACACGCTGCTTGTTGTTAGAAGACTTTCGTACTTAGTCACCAGTGTCTGTGGACCGTAAAAAGTGGATGTTTTAACAGAAAAAGCGAAATAATATTCACTGGACTTTTGTGATATTGATACAAAGATTAAAACAAATAAGTGTAGGGAAATATATACGCCATATCATGAACTAACTTGGTTTTCCAACATAAAATTTATGGATCCTCATTCGACTCTCTTACTAAAAGCGTCTTCTGTATGGATTCGTTTAAATTGTTGTTTAACGTTGAGTCAATTTTAGTTACACGAGCGTACTCTCGATAAGACTATTCATATTTATGTCCAATGTCAGGATGTCATTACTGCATAAAGCAGAACAATCACGTTTCCTAGTCGTGTCTATCAATATTTCTGTTAGTTCTATTTCTTATTGAGTAATATACGTTAAACCAATGTATTGAGCAAATATATAGTTTCTTCTCTGTATACTCAGTTTTTTACTCACTGTTTGATAAAGGTGATTCCGGCAGCAGACTGGATAAATAGTAGAAAGCAAGTCACTCTTTTACCCTATGAATATTCCTTTCGACTTTTCTCAACAGCCGAAAGTTTAGATGTAAGCAATATGTTTGTGACGTAATTTAACAGCTAGTTGTTCAATCACCCACAAATACAAGACTTGTGGAGCATTCACCGAAACCACGGGAAGTCATTTGCTAGAGCATCCAAACGCTGTCCTCTTAAAATTCTGTCATTTCCTTCTGTTTTTCGAGTAATATGCATGGTCAGAGATTTAATTCAGTTGGTAATGATAAGTCGAAGATCTATGTATAGAACCACGCGCCCATTAAGAACTCGGAAACGAAACCTGGAGCATCCCCAAGAGATACACACAGCACTAGTCACACGACTCAGTTACCAAACAGGACACTATGCAAAGCAAAAAAGACCCAAAATCAACACGGATTTTTACTTCTGGCAGTACTGGTGAGCAAGGAAACAAAGATCACTGTAGCACACATCCCGAACTAGCTAGAAAGGAACACCCACCACTCAAAAGTCGTTTTCATTGGTGGTTAATTGGAATGACCAGGAACTGGCTGTTAGGTTGTAGCAGTAACAACACAACTCTCGTTTCATCAAAACCAGTAGAAAGATAACAAGTTAGGTTAATCAGCTAAGAGTTGACCACAAACACCTAGATAAATTTCAGAACATTAAAGCTTAAATATTCACTCGCTTTCTTTACTTTGTATGGGGGTTATATTTCCTCTTATGTTATGCTGAATGTTGAAAAGCCTTTTAAATTTGTGAAAATTTAAACTTGCTCTCCATTCCACCTTTCAGCATAAATAAAGACCTATTCACTAATAGCGTAGTTTCTTCTATCACCAGAACTAGGGTTAACCATCGGCACGAAATGAGTGGATGATAGACTAAACTCTCTGATCCACTTCAGTGTTCCTTTGTCGAGGAGCAGTGTTGTGAAAAACAGATCAGCTCTCGATAAAAAGCCATAATGAAAATATTGCGTCCTGCCTGATAAGGGTGCTATCGAAAGGAGACTTTGTCATTTGTGTAAGGACCAAATCGTAGACATAACGACCGAACTGCCAATATTATGTTTGAACGCAAAACTAGCGAATCAAAATTGAACCAGACTACGTTCTTTTGTATAATGTACCAAGCGTTTTTGAGTTACTCGTATTAAATTATATCGAAACACAAACTCTGTGCTCAATCTAAACGGTTTTAATTTAGAAAAGTGAACAATTGGTATCAAAAATACAAAATACCTCGAACGGGCGGCTTGTGCTTATGGCCGACACAACTGTAGTAGCATTGGGCCCTCATACGAGACAATGTGGGAAATAGACATTCGACATTTAACACGGAGAAAAATCCAACAATGAAGAGAACGCGAAGAATGAACTGAGTTAATTGGAGTTATTCGCATAGCATGGCTCGGCCATGCAGGCGTGGTCTCTGCTGAATGTTACCTTATATCTTTTATTCATATTAAATGTATTGTTCTATCTCTAGCCTACGTTTGTTCTCCATCATGTATTGGTAGTTGTTACAATGTAGTGAGTAGGTGTAGACGGTGATGTGACTTCCACGTAAGATCTTATAGATTAGGCATTTATAACATGACAAATCTACGATTTTAGGATGAGTCTATTATTAGAGCAGTACTAATATCATAGTAGACCATACTCCTACACAACTACATATATATCTATGCCTAACAGACGAAGTACGAATCAGGGAAATATTTCATTGCTGAAACAGATGAAGTTGCCTTCGGTGACCTCGAAACCACGCAAGCACTCAACGAGCACCATAGCAAACAACTAAATCAGACATCTAGTCAGTGGGTTCGAGCCCATATTCTATTAGGGATCATATGGAAGGGCACTGTGAGGTAATCATTTGGGCCAGCATTAAGAAGGTTACTGTTATATCATAACGAAGGTTAAATTGAGAGTAACTTCCGAGAACTATTAATGGACTAATATAATATATGTATATATTCCTATTGTATAACTATTCAGTAACTAGATTACATATATCCATATTCCCTTATTATAAGCTTCATTTTGATCTATAGATTATTATTGTACGATTTACTGTTCTCAATTTATACTCAGTTATTTGATTACCGTTTCCCACATTCACAGCCACTTTTCGGCCTGATCTCGTATAAACGTTATTTCCTATTTTATGGTGCGATGAGGTCTATTTGATTGGTAGGTAAACCAAGTATGTCTGAAATGAATGATTTGCATAGTGGAAGCTGTTATTGGTGTTCTGGACTCAATTGGACGGTCTAGGACCAATAAGGACGCTAGGCTGATCAGACCGGTTGAACGTCATTGGTTTAGTACAGCACAAGAGTGAATAAGTCGTATTTCGATTGGCGAATAAATTACGTGACAACTGGCCGGACGTAAGGTCACAACAGTTATTGAAATCCAGATCTGGCGTGTCGCCTGGTCGCATTGACATACACTCCGCGGTACTGAAAAAATGTCCCCAAACCGTTTTGCATTCGATATGCGAACTGTCTCAGCACGCATTGGATTCAAAGAGGTTACCGATGGGGTGAAAGTTAGTTATCAGCTCTCCACTCATCATGGGGAGAGGCAGAAAAGATCTAAGCTGCTACAGAACTTGGGGGATGACTTCAGTGCTGCCGAATGTGTTATGAGGCTTGGCAGATGATCAAATGAAGTAGTGTGCAAGCGTACATAACCTCTTTTCTTGAAGCAAATCATGGCTTCGTGAAATTCATTGTGCACCTCAAATTGGTCATCAGTGTGCAAGAGCTGAGATCTTAAACTACCCTTGTAATCACTATTCCTTGAAGTTTGACAAATCGTTTGGTATTGTGACATTCTGTCATGTTGACCGGATTCGACCGAATAGGTTCTGAAGATCTGTCTTTTTTGGGGCAAAAAAGTACATATAGGACTGAGATTTCTGCACTAAAGTCAACTGAATAAATTCAAAATGAAGAGCCTCTATGTCTAAGATTTCATAAAGTACCATAATGAGCAATCTTTTGTTTCAAATGTTTATTAGCGGCTCCCCAAGCAAACCTTAGTTCTTGTTTCTGTGGGTGTTAAACTATCAGGATCAGTCAGATATAAAACCGATTAATATTATTTCGAAAAGACTTTGCAGTACTTAAGAAACAAGCACAAATGAGTGGTTTGACACTCAACGATCAAAATGTCAAGTTAAGCTTTTTCAAGCAGCGTAAGAGTTAAAGGCTGACCACCTTCTCTGTGACATATGACTCAACGGAGAGCGACATACGTCTCTTGCTAACTGAAGGCTCGAAAACCAGTGTCAATCAGTAACGGGATGTAGATAAAGCCTATGATACCCTTCACTTTATCTGTTGGCAACCAGGAAAGTCAAATCCGGGGTCCCTTCCGACAATATTCAAAATATACACCCTTACACACCTCGAAACTCATAAAATTTTTCACCCTCTTTCCACAAAAGGGATACGAATATGAAATAAGGAATTCTTGGAACCATAGCACATGAGTACAGTCGATTTTTTTCATAAATCCTTTTCGCGTTCGAACAGATCACAAAGATGATGCTGTTTAGTAACTTTTATATAACAACGTAGCAAAGATACATAAAAGTACAGGAAAGATGCCATCAGAACAAATTGTAAGCATGAAGTAAATAAAATATCAATGGACAGTGCCTTTTCCATCAGATATTGGGACCTAGTAAAACCCAATCGTCACGATTAGAAAAAATATTCCTGTTCGTCAAAGGACATTATGATACCCGAATAACGGGAACAACTTAGTTCAGTTCGTTCTAAAAGTGGGAATCAACGGCCATCAACAGCCAATCTTCCTGAAGAACTGGTAACACAGTCCATGTTTGGTGATATACTGCAGAAGCTACCAGTAAACATAGCAAAAATCCGAAGTATAATAATTCGGCATGGAAACCGCTACAAGGCAATATAAATAAATGCAGAAGACAGTAAAAAAGCGTCCAAAACATAGATAGTCAAAGATTTCTTGCTGTATAAAGTGAATGCACGGGTGGTTTTCACACGCGTATAAGTACATACGTAAACTTTTACAATGAATCTCTTAGAGCATGCGGCAAAGTGGGCTATAGTATTAATGGTCACATTCTGTTATAACCACTTTCACCATCTCGGACTATACTCGATAGATCATGGGAGAATAAAATGAGACCTGATGATCGTACGGAACATAATAATTACTTCAGGTTATTTCAATGAAAACATTCGGCGAGACTATAATTTATGGACGACCTGTGAGCGATGCTAAAATGACTTTGAGAGTGTCTACCTGCTTATTAGGGCTAAGTGAGGGTTATAAAGCATTTTGAGGAATGAAGATTATGATTTACAGTTGATGGTTAGGAATTTGATTTAGACTATTCATCACGAAATGGTATCAGCTATAATGCCAAGATTCAATTTAGCCAAATGGGTGAATGAATTTTGCGCCAAAATCGAAGATCTGTTATCGTAAATCTGATTGGTTCGTCCGTAAATTATGGTCTCGCCGTTTCTTGGTATTGCTATACAGTTCACGGTCTTTTATGGCCTCCTTAGGAGTAGTTTAGGCAATCAACTGCAAAAGTCCCGGTGAATTTAATAGTTATTTATGACTTCGTATAACATAAGCTCGAGTGAGTGTATTTGTTTTGGTAAAATTCCCATATGTTATTAATAATGTGTGGTAGTCGGCTTGTATAGCCTTATACCAATTTCCTATGATCTTCTGACGAATAATGTATGAATAAACAAACAATTAATAAGTTTAAGGTTTTATTCAGTAAATTATCGCTGATGGGAGTAACAGTAAATATATCTGGATAAAAGTATAGTTATTTACCTACATAGTTTAGGCCGTTTGTGATGTTTTATATTATTATTTTAACCTGTGAAAACTTACTTTTCAGGGAGTGGTTAAATCTATTTCGACATAAATGCGTTTTTTCTTATGTAGATATAGAACTCATATTTGAGAGAGCCAAGTGTATTTATCATAATTTCAATAAGCAGTATATAATATATCTGACTGATATTCAGCTGCTGAGGTTTCATAGATTCGTAAAGTTAACTCAGATACTAGAAAACTAAAAGTCTTTGTAACCTATCAATGAAATTAACAAAATACAAAAGTAAACAGTACAAGGAAATGAATCATACAAATGTCGAGACTGAATGTTTAGAATTCTCAGATGAATAATGTTTGTTTGTTTCTTAAAATAAACGGTCAGTAATATCCGCGGTAATATCTTCTTTGACAAATCTTTCAGGACTAATAACAATCAATATTGTGCTTAGCATAAATGGTAGAAATGTTTATTATTTAAGTGATATTATTACAAGGAATTAGTTGAACTGTAAGAAATGGTTTCCGGTTAAACAATATCAAAACTTCAGTGAAAATTATATCAGCATTAAGTGAAATTGAGCAGAATATGTTCATGTGAAAAAAAGTGAACAGATGGTTATGAATAATATTAAAGAAATATAGGCAGTTATTAGGTTTATCTGTAATATAAAGTAACCTTCATTTAAATATATCACATGAATCTAGTTTTCACGCACTAATGATATCTTGATAATGTTAACTGTTTTTGTTCTCAAACCACAGTATTGCAGTCCACTGAAGTGGTAAATGAAAAAGAATGGGTGTTTTTTGTGAATTAAAATAACTTTATTGTGACGCATTTGACAAACGATAAATAAGTTCATTTGCAAAAGGAAGAAATTCATTAGACCATGTAGATTCCCACAGTAATAAGCAATCGGATTCAGCTACCAAACTATTTGATAATAATGATTTATGTATTTGTTCAATAAGTTCAGCATCTACAAACATATATAAAATATACATGAATGACAAACAACTAATATATTATGTTCAATATAAAGAAAGTATTTCAATAAACCTCAATGAATGAAATGACCCGAAAAACAATTGTCTGACCACGCCGTGTATCTTTATTTTTCAGGGTTTAAAAACTATCTTCACTATCAGATTTAGTTGAGCTCGGATATGCCAACTTTTTAATAAACTTATGTGGAAAAATTTCATCATCACAATGTTTCAATCTTCAGTCTAAAGAACAATCTTGAATAAATAAATCTAGTTAAATTATATTTTCGTTAGAAACTTTGTAGATTACAAGTGAGACTACACGTTCATAACCGTTGAAAAACTTAAAATAAAAGACCAGTTTATATGAGTTATTTCATCGAGTCAACAAACCATATAAACTGTTAAACTTCGACTAGTTTATCAGATATTCCATAGTCGTTGAGAAGTCTGAAAGACCTGAGTGCATGTGGATTTCTGATAAACCCCAAACCAAGATTCGAAAGTTATTTTGTGCTTCTCGATTTTAACTGGTTCTCCAACTGATGTCATTTTCGAGAGAAATTATTTCCAATAGAATGAATCATTAATTATACAATTTCAAAGGAACATGTTGCTAAGATTTTTATGATTTATAACAAACAGATAATAATTTCTACCAGGTTCATAACTGTCGATAAAGTCAATTATGGTAGATATTAATGATAGGTTCAACAAATTAAGACAAGATTATGATACTACGTAATCAATAAATTCAGTGTCAAAAGGTTGATGTGATTGTAAGTGGTATTTCGGGGACTGTGATCCTAGAAAATTATAGTCAAAGTTCTAAATGAAATCATGAAGATTATCGCGGTGTAAAAGTTGTTGCATAGTAATTAAATGCAAGAGCCTGTTTTCAGATCAGAAATATGATAGCTGAGGTCTATTGATACCACACTGCCGTTCAAACAGAAGTAGGTGGAATGAACTTTACGCATAAAATCGATGACCGTTGATAACGACAACAGAATATTTTGGCAAATTGAAAATATAGGTGAACAAAATATTTATAAAATGCACTTAGCTTCAAAACAATTTATTGTAAACTGGCGAAGCAGATTTCAGTAACAATGTGAACCAATCTCACTCAATGTTTTCAAGCTAGTGAAAATAGCTGTTATGTAATGTAGGAGATAAATGTAAGAATGTGATCACTGATGATATGCGTACTCACCGGTAAATTTGGTTAGCAGACTTAGCAACTCATTCATTAATTCTTGATCGAACATTTCTCCCTGTGAATTATCAACCACTTCTGTGTAATTCCATAATGTTTTACACGTTAATCCAGCTAACTCCCAATCATGTCCAGCAAAATCACGAAGAATTTCTATGAGTCTGGTAAGTTAGATGTAAATAAAAGGTTATTTTTGAAATATTAGGATATCATTATGATCAATAAAATAAAAGATTCTTAGATAACAAAATATTAGTAACACAATGACTTTCGTTTGATTAAATAAAACTACAGATTAGGTGTTCACTTGCGAGACCGAAATTCCTGGGTTGGATCACCGAGTACGGAGTCGTGGATGAGCACTGCTGATGAGTCCCATACTGGGACGGCACGGTGGTCCAATGCTTTTCGGTTTTCTATGGTGTTCTAATGTAGATCGATTCAGAATTTCAATAAAACTTGAATAATTATATTCAAGATAAAAGCAGTTGACTAAAAAATTGCGTTAATTCTTTGAAAGATAAATATGTTTCGAATAACTTATCTATAACGTTTGTTGAAAACCATGCTTCAATTGGTGAGCTCACTGAAGTCTTCAACTGAATAAATGAATATCCCATTTTTCAGGAGTTAGAAAGAAATTTAGAGGAACATCTTACTTTAAATGTTTTCTACATGAAAATTCCAAACGAAAGGATTTGAAAGTTTCAAGAAGTGAACTTTGAATATGAGTATACTTTATTCAAGGAGTAATCATCATAAAATTGGGAAATTGGTTGTTTGATTTTCTTAGCGGGGCACACCCGGAGCCTTCGACTTAAAGATCTGATCCACAAGGCAGTGGAGGAATATCAAGAGATGCGGTTCAATGGTAGCCGGTGACCAACAATAGGTTCGTATGCAATTTGTTTCTTCTGGATACTGGAGTCCATGTGCACCATGGTTTGGAGTCAGGGACTTCCAACACCCCTAGGTGGACCCTAAGTGTCCACCGACCCGGTTAAAGCACCGGACATTCGCTTTTCGTCCTCTTAATTTCGTAAACAACACCCCCGACACGAAAAGGCAGTGAGTAGGACTTCTCTGGCAGAGGTTGTATGCACTTGGCCAAGTGAGAGCGTTTCGAGAGGGAGGGCTGACTCTCCCCACTCTCGGTCGTACCAGGGCATTTGGGGGCCATTCAACTGATCAGCCAGAAGGAAATAAAGGATTGTTTGAATTTTGGATCTGGAGGAGAAATTTATGTTTTTAATGTTGAATTATTGCTAATATCCCTTATTTATATGATCAGGGTTTATCAGTATGTGAATAAGTATTTCAGTGTTATCAGTAGAATTCATCAGAACTAGAGATGATATGAACCGAATGTATAAGTTAATACAGTTACAAATTAAATTAATTAATTAGATATCGGGCAAAACAAATAACATGTGAATCATACTTCATAACATATGTAAAATCCTCGGAAAAACAGGCCATCACAAGAGGGCATTTAGTGTCTGAACAAAAGGTCATTACTGTTGAATATTGACTGTTTAAATTGTTTCGAAACAAAATAACTAGTAAGGGTGAGATTAAATATTCAACATGAAGACCGAGAAAACAGCAAGTTGCGTTAGTAACTTTACAATCACAGTGGATTTCGGCAAGAAAAGGAGCGGTGATTGAAGCAACGATGGTAAGAATTTGATTTGTAGGGTGATCATTACAGGAAATAATATAAACGAAAATCAGAATGAGGGATAGAAACATAACACTTTAAACTGTAAATTATACGTTGTGGTGATTTTACATGAAAACAGCAACTCACTTTGATAGACCTCCCATTATCCTTAACATTGGTCGTTGGTCCAAATCTGTCATCAAGTTAATCAATACACCTAATGTACTATAAACAATATCTGGTCGTGGAGAATCCAACGCTTGTATGACCAAATATAGAAAAGCATTCTGTTGAATTAAATTATTCAATTCTGTAATATTACTATTAATACTACTGATTGGACTGATGCCATTGAAAAGTGAAGAATATTTGACTTGTAATAATCGACTGCTATTATTAGTTAACCATTGCCTTATTGCTGTATGCCGTGTAAGATTGCCAAATACACGTATTATACCAAGAAATTCATCTTGAAAACCGCTAGTCTTCATTATTACACGTAATAAACCTGACAATGTAAAAAAGTAATATAAACTTGCATTAAAATACATTGAAGTCATAAGAATCGTTGAGAGAGTCTAGTGAAACGACTGACTAATGTAGTAAGAACTATAATGAACTAGAATTTCTTTATTCAAGAGTAATCTCGGATAATTTGGTTTTTTCACTGATGGATTTGATCAGTGTAAACCACGTTCGTGGTCCTGCTTTGCCACAAGTTCTATCATGCAAATACCATACATTTTGATCATAATTAATAGTATTCACTAGGTTTCTTTTTAATCCTCCGGAAAAGTAACAATTATCAGAAATCTACTCTCCTCCACATAAATATATTTCTACTGAAAGTGATTACTTTTATTGGTATAATTTTAATAACTTACTTTCTGCTATTTCACATTGTTTTGTAACAGACTGATCAGTAAGTTCTTGTTTTATGTAGTAAGTCAAGTTGTTTAAGCATGCAAAACAGTTTAGCAGTAATTCATTAGGTTCACCAATAGATTGATTATCTGTTGCATCCATTTAAAAAAAACAAAAGATGAAAACGTTAATTTTATAGTAGGTACTAGCATAAAATATTACTAATTTAATGGTTGAGGGTTACACTGTAATATGAGGCATCTATAAACTGCGTCTGAAACCTTGACGTGGTACTAAGTTATCTATTTGGAACCAATGGGCTGATGGGCCCGAAATAGTATGAAATAGTTTAAGAACTCAAATTGTGCAAGAATAAATAATCAGCACGTAAGTTTTAATTCACAATATTATCGCATCCATTAACTAGTGAGGCATTTTATTTACAAACTCACTCCATAGAGTCATTGTAGCTTTGAAAATGATCTGAATATTTCCTGAAATTAGTAGTTTTATTTCTAGTAAACTTCTGAAATTGTAATTTTGTGTACGTTTCGTACCATAACGATTTAAGTTTGTCAAGGCACAAATGTCCTTTAGCGTATATTTACATAGTTGGCCAATAATACTATTTCTACCTTTTTAAGGTAGTATAAACACTTTTAATGAACTTTTTATTATTCTTTGCTCAGTGTTAGATCATAAGTCGTGTTAGTTGAACCACTCTTATACATTCACCTCTGACTCTTTGTATGCTGTAGAGTAATCTCAATGTTAGTTATCCCATTTAGATAAAATACAACGTACCAATCTCTGAACCATACTCATAAAACATCTATAATTCTCGGTTTTAAAATGTGCAACGAAGGCTTAGGAGTCGTATACAAAGATCGTTCCGTTCAGCGTTTATTTCATAACGAATTTATGAAGCAATAACTCGTTCCTAACTCGAAAAATTATATTAAATTAAATAGCTGATTGACTAAGTAGGAAAGCTAATCGCAGATTCTTACTAATAATAAGCCAAACTTTTCCTTACAAATACATATATATGAACTTGAAAAATATTATAAGAGCAGCAATCAGTTAAAATAGTAAGAAATAAGTAAGATGTTTTGAGATTGATCTATTTGTAAATAATATTCTGTACTCCTTTTCATAATGACAATTAGATTCACCTAATTGTTTCAATTACCCAATCATTCAGCTTTATGTATGCAAAACTACATATTTTGAATGAGAATATCAATCATTTATGCAGTTTAATGGAGTTATTATTGGAAAATATAAATAAGTTATTAAATTTAAAGTTCATAGTGGGACAAAAACCACTTTATTTTATGAACTTCAGAGTAGCAGAGACTGTATTTTATTTATAAACCATTTGACAATACTGATATAGACAGGAAACAAATTTACAGATGCAAGTTCTTCGATGTGTCAGGATTGTCATCACATGAATAGTTTTCATGTTGTTAGTTACAGTGATGGCTTTTCACGTCATTTATAATTGCAGTATGGTAATTAAAATCGGCTAAAGAGAATATCTTACAGGAGCAGGTAGTGTAGTTAACATCAAATCTGATTATTTGGTAGGTCAGCTTGAAAGATCTTACCCAGCGTTTTTTTTTAATTTGAAAGCAGTTTCTCACAAAAAATCACTGGAAATAATCCTTCCTAATTTCGTTTGAATGTCAATCCATTAAATGATGATAACCATTGTTTATAAATATTGCCTACTTTGTTGAAGTCTCTAAATGCAGACAACACAATACAACTACTGTCAATTTCAGTGATTTAAAGCATAATCTGTAACTGTCTGACTATAGAACTAATTTATGTGTGGTGTTAATACTAATAACAGTGACCAAATAGTTTTTGATTAAAAGTATAAAATTCCAAATCCAATCAACAACTTATCCAAAAGCAACAGTGAAACTTACCAATAAATTCTAAGATTAAATTTATGCAATCAAAGTTTTCTGTGCATATCAATCCAACCGTATTACTAATGCTAACATTTGCTATAACCCGTAGTAATTTCACCAGTATATCATATTGTAATGAATATGTTGATTTGACAGATTTATTTAGTTTATCTGTCAAAGCATTATTTAGGAAATCTAGATATAAGGATGATAAAAGGAGAAAAATATGGGATGAAAACAATTACAAGGGAATAAAAACATACATACTATAGTATAATAAGCACTAACAATATGACTTCAAGATAAACCTCAATAAATATGTTTAACTGAATGCCTCCAGCTTCGTTGACTTGTGGGAAAGTTTAGCATGCACTCATGTGCTCTACTTTAGTGATGACGTGGTAATCAAACTAATTTACTTTTCACAACTGTACAGTTAGATCAAATACAACTCTCTCTGTTTCGCTTTGAGCCCATGTAAATGAACGTGTAAGTAACTATTAGGTTTTATTTAAATTATTGGACAGTTTTACTCTTATAAAGCTCTGTTACTTCTAAAGACAAATAAATAAACCTGACTTTGTAAACTGAAACCATGGAGCAAATAAGCCTTGAAACGGATGTAGTGGGCAAAAACTGATTGACATCTAATATACATCATCTAGCCGAGAGAGATGAGATTTAGATCTAAAAATGAGGAGCTATGAATTTATCACAATATTATATCCCATCTTGTTCCATTACAGTAATCCAACTGAGAACAACTACAATAATCCAGATGTTAATTTCCCATTTCAACAAAGATATTATAACAAATTTATTTAAGTCGTTCAAGAATATTTTTATTGACACTGTTCCACTTCTTTTAGGACTAAATATAAGTTATTCAAATAATAAACCATAAGGGTATCTATAATATGAATACTTGATTTAATTATAAATTAATATTTGCTCTATCTTATTCACTGTCTGAATATACTTACTAGCCAGTGATTAAAGTTTTGGATTTACAACGTTCATAAAATTTTTTAACGAGTATAACCTTAAAAAGTGTAGTAACAAATATTGAAAATAACACAAGAAAATTGACGAGTATAATAATACACTATAAACTCATAGATGTTGAAACTATTTTGAGGCTGATAGGTTCGTTTATACAAAATTAGTTACTGAACAGATTAATTAAGTTTATTGTGAACATATTATAGGGTGAACAAAAGTTGCACAATATTTCTCTAAAGTGATCTGATAGCTGTACTCATAAATTATATTTATTCCTTTGTCCATTCTCTAACAGAAGGTATTACAAATATATTAAAATTCATGTAAATGAAAAGTGACAAAAAACGTTCTACAATATTTCATCTAGTGTAATATTTTGTAAGGAAAGTAGTAAGATGGGCAGAATTGGCGCGAAATCTTCGTAGCCAAAGGTGAACAGCCATTAGTATAACATTTTTAACATATAACATGATTAAAGTCTAAGTAATATTTTTAACACACCGGTGTTATTAAATTCAGTACAACTTTTTAATTTATTCAAATTAGTTCTGTTTGTATAATGATCAGATTGATGAATATGCTTTTGTATTTCATTATATCGATAACATAAATTGCATAGTTTCAGCAAAGAATCTTGATTAGGTATTATCGCTATACGTGCACGTTCACATTTAGCTGCCAGATTGCCAAGTACATAGGCTATCCTAACAACAAGTTCCTAAATGAAATATAAAAAAAAATAGAATTTGCATTGAAAAATTATCACTCTTATAAAGTTACTTAATAACCGTTAAATGGAATAGATTCTTGAAGTTCATTTAGAAAGACTGATAACGAGTTAGTGACCTGTGTTGCATTTGTCTGGTCCTTAGTACTGATAGCATCCTACTAATCAAGTAGCGATTTGTCATCAGTCAAAGTGTCTCAACATTGCTTAGATTTCGTTTTAATGTTGGGTGGTTGGAAGTAGTCAACAGGAAACCTTGAACCTAGGTTTAGTGCTAGAGGGTACCCATCATCAGTAGAATCCGAACAACATTAAGACAAGTATGACTTTGCTTGTTACCCAATGATCGATCAGTCTAAACATGCCAGTCCTAATTGAGATCAATCACCGTCAGAATAACTCAGTGGTACCATCTTAGACTATGAAGCTGGATTAAGTGGGTTCAAGTCTCACAGAGCGGATCAATTTCCTTGAGATTCCAAGTAAGCCTTGTTGATGAGTCCTGAATGGCATGAATCCTAGGTCCAGGGTTTTCTGTCGACTACCTTCAACCATCTAACGTCAAGATAACTAGTACAACTAAGAATACACATTCAATCAAATTAACAAGAATTGGAAATAATACTTAAATCTTTATTCTGTGATTTATTAAATCTCTTTGTGGAGTTTAAGTTCCATTAAAACATGATGAAAACAATCTTATTTCATTTAAATAGATTCAGGCAGCTCTGATCATCAGCTAACATCAGATGTAGAACTACTGGAAAGTGGGGAGCAAAGAAAAGCTGTCTCGTATAATTCAGGAATGTGCACCTGTAACTCTACTCAAGATTTGAAAGTCTAACTACAGTTAAAGCTTTATAACATTCGTCTTCAGCGAACCACTTGAAAACTTTACAACACTGCACATATCTCTGACTGGTTGGATATGTGCTGAAAACAAAACAGGAAGATTCTGGGTTTATTGTTGAGCTAGGTCGCTTATGTAACACTTCAAACTACGACAAGACATCTACCTAATCCTCTCTAGTTTCAATAAGTTTTTCAAACCGTGTCATTTTGTGATGAAAATCATCTTCACATTGTAGTTTATTCAGTTAGTCTTGAACATTTTCATGTAAACAAATGGTGACTGACTACGGTAAATCAAAATACGTTGAAGTTTTATGATAAGCTCGTGTAAATAGCCATTATATGACATCATGTACTTTAATAGGCACTGATTATTAAGAACAAAATTAATAAGATGATTTGGAACATACATGTTTTTCTTCAAAAATGTATATGAAATCGGTTAAAGCATAACACAATGCTGTAATTTGTGTTGATAAAATGTGACATATATTAATTGAATCGTTCGGCTTCATATTTGTTGTTAAATTGATATTCATATCTTTGTTAGATGGAATTACCCAATTTTCCAAATAATGACAAACATCTGCATGTTCTGTTAAATGAGATAAACATCTAATCCAATTGAAGTAAATAGTATAAAATTCTGAAAAGTTGAATTCCATTTCACTTTGGTCATCGTGATTGTTAGTAGTTATACAAGCAGAAGTAGTGGGAGTACCATCACTTTTCCTCAACATTTTGTCATCGGATTCTTCATAACTGATTATACAATTTACAATATGTTGCAATATTCCATCGTTTGCAATTAGTTTAGGACGAAATGAATCCATTGAGCTTAAATAACAAAATATCTCTGTGACCTTTTTAAAAGAAAGAAAAACAGTCATATTTTATGGAAATGAAGCACAAGCACTAAACCGCGATGCTTATGAGCATAGTGAAAAAACTTAAGGATTGGGATATGAAGGATAACAGAATTAAAACATTGAAAAGAAAAGCTTTTCAGTTGATAAATGATTGGAAGAGAACATAGGGGAACAAATGAAAGAATAAAGTAACCAACAGTCAAGGTGTAAGGACAAAGTATAGTCAATCGGTACAAAGAAGTAAGAAATGATATAGTCAAAGTAAAAATTATCACATTTGGACCTCTCTAAAGTCAGCTGATTAAAGCATAATTTACCCACATAAGAGATTTGTTCATAGTTCTTATTAAAAACAACACTTCTAAAGTCTAACAGAGTTTAATTCACTATGTGATATATTTGTAGTAGAGGTTTAATTTAATAAATATAATTTAATGGAAGTGTTTGAAATCGGTATTTTGGTGAACCTTCTCCATCAAACGTCAAATGTTGAATAAAATTAAGTAAAGAAAACAAAATTTTCTTAGGATCTGACATTTATAAGTATGAACAAGTTGCTAGTCCTTTTTGGAATATATTGATGTGGTTGATGAATGAATTAATTAATTAGAAAACTCGGTATTCGACCATTAGATCAAAGATGTAGAACATGCTAGTAGTATTATTGTTTCTCATAGTTTGAAATTGAGTACACAGATGCGTGATCAATTACTGAGATCGGGCAATGAAAAATTAGAGTAGCCTTGATTTGACCGCATGATGAAACTTAGTTAACAAAAGATATTGTGAGAAGTTTTGTGGTTGCGAAATTCTATGCAAATGAAAAAATTACTAATATATATCGCGCAAAATAAGTCGGATGGGAAAACTGAATTTATTAAGAGAAATAAGTAATTATCTTTATTGCAAAAGGCCTAAATTTCAATTTCCAATAAACGCGCAGTTTATGAAAGTATATCCATCAGAGCACCTAAACATCAATTCTGAAGTGATATATATATATATATATATATATATATATATATATATATATATATATATATATATATGAGTCCAAATACAATGGATTCAATTTAGCCAATAAAAAGTTCTTCCTCACTCTTTGTCTTTTTCTCAAGTAGTCGGACTCGTGTATAGAAAGTGTGAACCGATATCAACTCTTTGTTACCATGCTTAACAACAAGGTGATGTTTTATTTTAATCATTCGAGATCATTACTACTACTTCTGCCATAACTGTAGTGATATGGTGAATCAATGAAATATTGCTTAAATAAGAAACAAGCACTGACCTGTATAATGATATGATATGCATGTTGTATAAATTTATTAATTTGATTACCATATACATCATTATTATTAGCACCGTCATTATCATCATTGCTATTATGTTGCTCTTCTTTTTTAACAGTATTCACTGAACAAAAATATTTCTTATTCTTCAGGAAATAAATTAACATTTCATATATATGCTTATGAATAGTCATTAAATTTGGTAAAAAGCTTGAATTGGAATGAAATTTGTGCATAAAATTTATATTACTTATAAGGAACTTTATTGTTCCAGTTAAAAATAATAAACTTTCTAAATGTATACAAAATAATGTTGAGTTTTGAAACAAATTATTCATTGAAAACGACTTCGGTGATAACGATGAGGTTACTGGTACTGTTGACGGATAGGCAACAGATGAGGAAATGGAAAAAGGCATAATGGACAATTCTAACAAATGTAGAGCATCAATTAAAACATCTGAAAATGGGGAAAACAAGAGAAATGTTAATTTTAACTTAACACAACTAATACTCAAATATTTATTAAGATATTATGCAAATATTTGAAGGGTAATTAAGTAATGGGTAAAAAACAGACAACTCATCAATATTTTATCTCAGTGGTTCGAGAAGACAGTTAACAAAGCTGATAGATATTAGCTTAAGGCACAATAAAGATTAAGGACCGCTAGATAAGTATTCCATCTTACTTCGGGACTTCAAACAATAAATCTGTCTGTAAAACACCAAAGTTAACAATAATTATTCAATCACTAGTGAATAACTTTGAGAAGATTTCTTGAATGTTCAATGGAAGTCGCGCAGAGAACTTGATCATATTAGGATCGAGATAGCTATCATTAATGACATTCAATGACCATAGCGCCATGTCATGACTGACGAGTGACCTATGGCTGTAAATAAGGTTTTATTTCACAAAATTTACCCACTTTATCGTACTTACTTGATTTATAACATCTAGCTACATTAAAAATTTAAAAAAGGAATCTCAATAACCTTACAAATGTCAAAACAATAAATTAATACTTACCAAGGGTATTAGGATTCTCTAGAAATAAGCAATCATTATCTGCATTTTTAGCTACTTTGTAGACAATTTTACAAATGTTTAACAAATTTTTCCCAGTTACTTTCATCTGCAAAAGAAGTGGCATGATTCATGAAAACAATGAGCGAAATCCTTGAGAGGGAGAAAATTATATTGAGTCCATGTAAAAAAGATTATTTTTGGGGATAATAGACCGAGAAAGTGTTCTGATCATGCCACTAATTAAATAAATCTTTACATTAGTCCACTTTTTAAAAATCACTAATAAAATAGTTTTTTAATATTAAAGTAAAATAATCTCATACATAAGTCCTGAGGTCAACAACCAAATTCATTCTGTTCTTATCGGAATCCCTTTTTCTATTTATAATTTATTGAGTGCATGATTTCTTTAAAGATTTTTGATATATTTGTCTGTATTGAGGAACAGTGTTTTATGAATGTACGTAAATTGTCTGATGCTATCTACTTGGTCAAATATGGCATGAAATAAAACACAATAATTTTTTAACTTTAATCTGAAAGCAGATTAGTTTAACCACAGTCGGTACTTAAATCTCTGAAACACAATTTTTAACTGTTTAGATACTGAAGGACATGACTTTGTTTTCATGTATTTGAACAGCGCATTTAACTCAAACACATTTATAAAGGACTTACTACTAACTGTTGTGATAACTACTATGAAAAGCAAGAAGAGATATGGAAGTAGATGGTATATTTCTTTGCTTACTTGTCCTCTGGCGCAACGAGACTTAGTAAAAATGGAATTCATGAGCGTAAAGTGCAATCCGTATGGTGTACATTACACTACTTAGGATGCTTGCTTAAAAAGGAAAAACAGTGCAGAACTGGATGAAAACAATTGTTTAAGGGCAGTTGTTAAATAAGTTCCGTCTTAAAAACGGTTTTTAAACAGCCTTGTTTTGAATTTCCACAATAAAATGAATGTCAAAGGAATTCGCTAAGACATTTTACCACATAAGCTGAGAGTTCCTTATCGTAAACAAGTATTTAGTATCCAATAAAGAGATTTTTGTTATTATACACCTTTTTTACTCAAAAAATCAGAGCAAGGTTGAAAATAATTTGCTCTAAATCACACATTGTAAGATGACTAAGAATACTTCATGGATGTCCATTTCATGGCAGATGAAGTGAAGACCAAGTTTTATATTAAATGACTGAACTACTGAATAACAATACTACTACAAATATTGTTATAAACAATAGAACCCAGTGAGTGATATAAACTTAATGCATACTCCTGTTAACAGCTTTCATTTCGTCTATTAATGTTTATTTCATAATTTTGTTCCTAAATTAGTTTGAATTTGGAAGCAGAGATGAATAAAATGTCAGATTCCCTACAAGATAATATAGTATGCATTTACAGAACGATTAAATACAGAAAAATGACGTCATAGTAGTTGCATTCAGTGTTAAAATAGTGAACAATCCCATGCAAAATAAATTTCACATATTGAAAATAGGATATGGGGTTTTAATGAAATTATCAAGTCAGTAACAAAACTAAGCTCACAGAAACATTAGCTAACTAAATTATCACTAACTGTAAAGATCAATCTAGCTACGGCTAGATGTATCCTTGATGAAGGATAATTAATTAAGTTGAATACAGCTTTCAATAACATTGAACGGTTTGACCAATTTCTATTCCCCTCCAAATCAAATTCACTGACACAATTTTGTATACGATCTAATAAATCTGTGACTTCATTTTCGTCTAATTTATTTGTTATTAAACTTGAATGAACAGTTTCTTCTTCGTTCATCGATTGTTGAATATTTTTTGTTGAAGGTTTAACTTTGTTTTTTACTTCACTTAATTTTTGGTATTGTTCCTGAACCGATGAATCATTGTTGTCTTTAAACAATACTTGCGAATCAAATGTTTTAGAATTCTGTAAATTTTTACAGGATGATGAAGGTGATGATGCTAATGTCTCTGTTTTTATCGTTGATGTTGGCAATGACAGTTCATTTAATTGGTAAATTAAATTATCCAGTTCTGTAACGGATGACAAACCAGAATCACTGGAAACAGATGTTTGAAATTTATCACGTAAATTTATATTAGTTACATCGTAATTGACTGAACGTTTATGTGGACCACAAGATTTAGGCTAGTGAATTTATTTGCAAAAAAAAACAAACGGAAATATATATGCACAGGTTTAGATTTTCACGTTATTTATATTAAGGATTACAAGTGATCAGTTTCTGTTGGCTCATGTGCATTCTAAGCGGCTTGGTTTAATATTACAATTTTCATTACAGTCTGATTTTGACTAGCTTTCTTAAGAAGAGTGACCACTTCTTAAAATTTCTACCTAAATTTATCACAGTAGATCATTGTGATCCAATTTTTTATCCCTGGTTTATTGTGTGTTAGTTACGTAAGTTTTGCAAATCAATCATAAAAATGTTTGAATAGTATACTCTAAATATTAGCACTGAGTAATTGCAACATAACCTTGAGTACCTATTGACTTGTCATCTTTGATGAATGGTCAAAGTTAAACGCCTATTAATTGTTTAAATATCAACATTATTATAAAAACGATCTGTTGCCATTTGTCAATTATGTCAGCAGGAATGCTTAAATTCAATAAAGGCCAAAATGAGCTTTAAAACAATAAAGATTGACTGTTAAACATAGGTACCGCGGGAGGGTGCCAATATTATGAAACATTTCTTTCTTTGGAATAACAGTTGATGAAACAATTAAATTAAAATTTTGAAAAGAGCAAAAATAAAGATTTTAGCAGAATGGCGTGAATTTAGGTTGTAAACAGCTGACGAGAACCAACGAAATAAAATGAATTCATGCTATTCTGCCACAATCTTTGTTCTTGCACTTTTGAAAATGATAAATGGAATTATGCGTATAAATTAAAATTATGGTTAATAAGCTTCAATTTCAATACACGCAAGAGAATTTACTCGCGAAGTTCTATACATATGCTAAGATTTTGAACTACAGAGTACAGAATAAAACATAATAAATCTATGTTTAAGTAATGCTTTATTTGTTATCTGTATTCTCATTGAAATCAGATAAATAAGTTAAAGGAACTTCTGGCTAACATTCTTTATAAAACTTTAATGAAATTAACCTTATCGATAAGTAATAATATACTGGCGAGTAGAAGACATATGTTTACTGAATTACAAAACGAAGTAAGCTAGTCAACAATTTTCATTGGAGATAGATGTACCGTGAGCAGTTTCAACCGAGCTCAAAATGAATATCTCTTTATTTTAATACAACTAGTGTAAACGTTACAAAGGTTAAGTTTATTCTACAATGATCATTAGTCAATTAGAAACATATCTAGAGAGTGCCCATTTTCCATTCTTCTAAGTAAGCCAATGATGTAGACGTATTTGTATATTTCTATTTCTGAGTAATATAGTTGTAGCAGTATATACATACAGTTTATCAAAGATTGTGTTGGTCAAATCCCTAATTCACTGTAATGTAATATAAGCAACACCATGAAAAATGAACAAAGAACCAGTTTGGACAAATAAAAAAACTAAATGAATTATATAAATATAGAAAATATTCTTAATTGCAATTTCACTTTCGTTTCAATTTCCATTTGTCAATACACAAAAATAATAAGTAGACAAACATATTCAATATTCAAGAATTCTTTTAAGCTTCCCCCTATTCGCTTAAGAAATGAATTCTTCTTATATCTAGTTGTCTTCAGATGTACTAGTACTGTATACACAGCGGAAAAAATCTTTCTATGCAGATAAGAATTTGATAAATTTAAGTACAATGAATATTTCATTGTTTAACAAGAAGAAAGATATAGTTTGAGTTACCATTGGAAACAGTGAATTGTTTATTAGCAAAATGAAGAAATTTTCTTAAAGAGTATAAAATTTTTTAAAGGAAAAGAATATAGTTTTGTCAAGATTAACAGAGCTATTTTTATGTTACTTTAAAATTAAGATTTGATATAACCAAAAAAAGAAGAAATAAAACAACAACAAATAAATGGTACACTTCGACAAGTGTAGTTTTTCATAAGTGGGATTCTTAAGAAAGTTAATTCCTATGTTTTCTAGAAATCTAATATGAATAAGTATAAATTTTATTGTCTGAGTTTATGAATGATACAACTAGATAAATGTTTTCTGTGTAGAAAACAGTAAATACCAGTAATCAAATGGTGGAAAATTTCTAGTGATCAAATAAAACTGGTGGGCAGCCCATGCTTCTCCACGAGGGGTAACATCCGTAAGTAGGTAAGTAAGTAAGTAAGTACGTCAGATCATATAGTTGTGCTGATGACTTCAATCTTAACGATGTACATGAAACATGTTATTCCTTGATAACCGATAGTTATTTCTACAAATCTATACCTCAATTCATTAATTTATAAGACTTTAAATTTATCGAAACTTTTCCTCATTGGAGTAGTAAAAGAAGTTGGTACTCATACAATGATATTCTTAGTGGTATTCTACGTCATTTAGGCAGTTTGAGTAAGGGACCATCATATTAATTAATATGAATAACAGATCTAATGAAAAGTTTATTTTGAACTGAAAAAAAGGTTATTTAAACATTCATATTAAAAAGGAGCTGGTCAAGCAAGAAACGCTTTCATTAAATACATGTAACCTGAGTCATGTTTAATGCACAATTTCTATTAAAATATTTATATAACTGTTCGAAATGTTTATTCTACTATTAACATTAAAGAAATCAGTCCTATACACTAGTTATCTATATCAGTTTAAATGAAATTAAAGTGAGACAATGAGCTCAATTGACATTGGTTGTGATATTACACATCACTATTTAAACAATAAAATATAACAAAAATCAAATTAGCATTCAATGTCTTTCAACTTCATTAAACGAAACACTATTTTAAGGAAACTAATCTACATATCAGTATCAGAAGGGGTTTTGTGGAGATTGTAGTAATTTCAACAGTTGAGATCATGAGTCAATTGAAGCTAGACTACCATAGAAAACCTGGAAGCACTGAATGGCCGTTTCATCCTATTGTAGGACCCCTCAGTAGTGCGCATCCACGACCCCGCCTCGCGGGATTCGAACCCAGGACCTATCAGTCTCGCCCCAGGCGCTTAACCAACCATTTCTTAAGATTTAATCTTATTAAACAAGAAAAAAACTGCCTTAATAAATAAATGAATTTTCATATGAAAACAAAATGATATTTTAACTCATATCACCAACTTTATTCTCATCGACAATTAATTTAGTAAATTCTCTATTTGTATTTGTTCCAGTAACATCAGATCGAATACCATTAGATCTAAATTGATGTTTCTCTTTTTCTTCTTCTTCACTAGTTAAAATTGTTCTATTCGATAGAAGAAATGAATCAATTGGACTATTCGGTCGAAATGATTGATTATCATCTATTGAAGATAATGTTGACAATTCAGGAGGATTAAGATAATAAGGATATACAGAAATCTTTGTTGTTATTTTATTACTGGAAGAATATTTCTCAGGTAGAATAGAATTATTGTTTGAGATGATATCCTTATTTTTATTTATTCCCATTTGAGTATTTTGTAAATGTTTTTCATTGGTTGACATCATCTGAAGTCTAACAATAGAATAAATTTTAAAATGAACAACAAATAAATGAATAATCATATTAATCTATAGGTGAATAGTAATCAGCATTATTTTGTCTAGTTTACAATGATCATTGAATTCGACTCATCATCTAAGCTAAGTGATTTTGTATTGCAACAAAGTTTGTTTAATATAAAATGATTAGAAATAATAAACAAGATAATTTGACAATTGAATACTTATTGCTAAAGTATCAGTAAGTTCTAGAGGCAATACTTTTATCTAAATAAGTCAGAAATAAGATTAGTTTGTAGAATACAGTGAATTGATTGTATTTCGTTGTTTTGAGAAATGAACTATCCAACAATAAAAAATGAGTGAGGTGTATACACTGTAAATGTGACTGTAGTTAAGAAGTAAAATTGTTAACAGTGACAGTTCTAGAATAAATTTAAGATAATTTTCATTGTAGAATATAACAGAAAGATTGAAGAGTTCTGAGAAGAAAAAACATTTGAACTAAACTCACTAGGTTGTGATTAAAATTAACTGAACAATAAGATTTGGAAAAGAAATTATAGTACTTTCGTTACGAAAAGAGAAGAAAAAGATTAACATCTAACTCTTTTTGACTATAAAGATCAGGTTCAAGCCTTCTAGTTGCTATAGGTTTCACAAAATAGCAGTCTTGGAATGCTTATTGATTATTTTAAATCCATTCATTGCATCCACTTTATAACTTCTTTCAAGGTGTTGCGCTATCAAACTCAGAAAAACACCTGTTCCCTGGTTGCATAGGTTCTTTGCAATATGTTAAAAAAAACGTGTAGATGCCCATGCGTTTCTCTTTCTACTGTACATGATTTTGTACAGACATTTAAATTGATATAGTCAATTTGTGATACGTGATGGGTATTTGTTTACTTTCGTTCATATTACTGAACATGCAGTTATATACACTGAAAATAATTTTGTAGCAGGAAATGTACTCTTTAAAGCTACTTTTAGTTTTTGGTTGATTTTATTCATGATTCTATTACCTTTGAATGTTAACTGGGTAAAAATATGTTCCTTTTTCAGTTTATGTACTTAAACCATACTGTGGTGTTTAGTACTATATTTCTTGATAATTTCCTAAAAAGTATTCATTTCATAGAAGACAGTTATTTGATTTTACACGCTTCTCCTCCAGCCTTTCCAGTGAGTATAACTTTCTGCCTCTGTGGTACTGAAATTTTACTAACCAGTATTTGATAGATTAGAGGGTTAAAGCTGTGATACTTTAGGCATATACAAGAAAGAAACTTATAATGGACAATACAAAAAAAGTACATCAACAAATTCTAATAAACAGTGAAACAACTTTAAAAGATTTAATGCAATAAATTTACAGTAGCAATTTTAAAAAGTCGATTACTTTTATTCATTGTTCTTGGAAATTAATAGAGATCAGAATACTTGGATGGGACAGATATTATGATTCCAATATGCTTAAATTACAAATATATATGATATGGCGGGATGAAAAGTCAAAATTAAATTGATTTACTCATTATGATTTTTGTTGAATATTACTTTCATTTTTAATTTAATGTAATGATTACTCAATGTAGTATGTTTTGTATTCTTGTATAACATACGTTATTCTTGTATTAAGTTTACATGAACTATACTCAGCATGTGACTTGTTATAATTCTGGGTATTTTATATATATGGGATTTTATCCTAACTATTAATCGAAGTGAGTGTATTTTTGACTAGGATCGTTGTCGTGTTTTAAGGTTAATAAATCTTCACTTGTATCAATCTTTGTGTTCTTACTTTCGCTTCATGGGAATTGCAGTGGTTCCTCGTTTTGAAAATATAAGTGATAAGTGATTCCGAAATGATAATCAGCGACGACCAGATATAACAATATGAAGTACGGAAAACAAGTTAGTACTATATTTTTCAGCCTCTGATTTACATTGTTCTTATTCATTTCATAAAGTGGACAGAACAACACTATAGAAGCTTCTTCGATACCACGGCGTGCCTCAGAAGATAGTCAATATCATACAAAATTCCTATGATGAATTAAACTTCAAAATTGTGCATGGAAGACAGTTGACAAACTCGTTCGAAGTAAAGACCGGTGTCAGGCAAGGTTGCATACTCTCGCCCTTTCTCTTTCTCCTGGTGATCGACTGGATCATGAAGACGTCAACGTCTGAAGGGAAGCGCGGGATACAATGGACATCTAAGATGCAGTTGGATGATCTAGACTTCGCAAATGATCTGGCCCTTCTATCCCAAACGCAACAACAAATGCAGGAGAAGACTTCTAGTGTAGCAGCAGCCTCAGCAGCAGTAGGTCTCAACATACACAAGCGAGAAGCGAAATTCTCCAATACAACACAGCATGCACCAATCCAGTCACAACTGACGGCGAAGATTGGGAAGATGTAAAAACGTTTACATGTCTGGGCAGCATCATTGATGAACACAGTGGATCTGATGCAGATGTGAAGGCGCGGATCGGCAAAGCAAGAGCAGCATATTTACAACTGAAGAACATCTAGAACTCAAAGCAACTGTCAATCAACAACAAGATCAGGATTTTCAATACAAATGTCAAGACAGTTCTACTGTATGGGGTGGAAACCCGGAGAACTATGAAGGCCATCATCCAGAAAATACAGGTGTTTATTAACAGTTGTCTACGCAATAGTCTTCGGATCTGTTGGACAGACACTATTAGCAACAAACTACTGTGGGAGAGAACAAACCAGATCCCAGCGGAGGAAGAAACCAGGAAGAAGTGCTGGAAGTGGATAGGACACACATTGAGGAAAGCACCCAACTGCGTTACAAGACAAGCCTTCACATGGGATCCTCAAGGCCAAAGGAAAAGAGGAAGACCAAAGAACACATTACGCCGGGAAATGGAAATAGACATGAGAAAAATGAACAAGAATTGAATGGAACTAGAAAAGAAGGCTCAGGACAGAGTGGGTTGGAGAATTCTGGTCGGCGGCCTATGCTCCATTAGGAGTAACAGGCGTACGTAAGTACTCATTGCTTTAGTCTAATATTATTTGACAACGATGTCAGCCTGAATCACGAACCAACATCATTAAAAAAGAAAAACGACTTTTCGTAGCATCAAGTTTGATAAATGCAATAGCTTACACTGAAGAATTTCTCTTTTGTTTATATATCAATACTAGTTTTTGTGGTAATTACATCGTTATAACACATGATTTACGTTTCCTCAACTTTGATAAACTTCATGACAATATTTATTGCCTCTAATCTTCGTTATTTTAATTCATTTTTTAAAATGAAATCTTGTAATTAATGAACTAAATAATCATATAGAGATTTGCTAAATTTTGATGGTATTAATTTCCAAGCCTCAGCTGTGTACAACGTATCAATTGAATGTTGTTGAAGTCTCAAACTAGCAAGAAGCAGTTTTTAGTACTCCCTAGTTATAAATGATTTTCTAGTCAATGTCAGTTCATATCCTTACCCATGAGTTTCTTTTAGATGAATTTCTCAAAGTTCTTGTCAGAAATAACAACAGTTAAAGATAATAAGGCCGAAATTGAGATAGATCATAACTAAAGACCACTGAATGAGAGTTATTCTTTGCCAGTAGTTGATGGGATTTGAAAAAATATGAACAATTTGATTTTGACATGGTAGCTTAAATATATTGTGCTCCTTGGGAAACCTGAAGATCTTTGGTTCTATCCAGCTTGCCATACGTATCAATTGTAATTAGATTTATCATCAACAGTTTGGATGACTTTAACTGCTCTGCTAGTTATATATATGTCAGAAACATAATACTAGAGTGTATTTTATAATATAGGCTAAACTTACTCGGTACAACTACCATATGGAGACTTTTGAGCGGCGCATCGTTCTGATTTAATAACCGAACAAGCTGAACGCTTAACACTTATCGGGGAGATCAAGCGAGTCTGTGTGCCAATAAGTTCCAGACGTGGTGAATTTTTATGACTGTCAGTCAAAACAGATTCTTCCATGGGCCCACTGGATTGAGATGTTGTTGCTGAAATGAAGTTTTTTCTCTGAATGTTATTTACCATAAAATTAAATATAGAATAATAACTTATAATTTATTGTTTTGATAATTCGCATAAACAAACATAACTTATACATCTGTCAACAGTTAGGAAGGTATGTAGTGCAATTGCCCTTAACAAAATATATACAGCCTAAAGTGTAAAACGCAAAGCTTTTGTGACCACCTAAGTAAATATACCAAGAAATACTTTAGACATACCAAAAGGTCTCAAGCCTAATGGTAATGCTCTCACTATGAAACCCGTGAGCCTCAAGTTCGTTTCTACATAGATCTATCGATGTAAACAGTGAATCAATTGAGAACTAGGATGTGCTTTACATTGATTTTTCAGCTGATGTTAGTTTACGATAAAACCTAACATAAAATAAGAAGACATAAGAAATAGGAGACGATTAGTATTTTACACAAGACAAACAAACAAAACAAGTATTTTGTAGATTTCTGCTAGCCAACTTTTCGACTATATAAAGGGTTTCTGTAGTAATTTTTTACATCACGAAGAACCTGACATTTACAAAGTGGAAGATGATAATATACGTTAATTATTTGATGAAATGAAAGTTTCTTTAATACTAGTATTTACATCGTTGTTATTTTGAACTTAGAAAGTTACTTTACAGATCAATCAACCAATTCAATTATTTGGAGACGAAAAGACAGAATAGATTATGAAGTCAATCGAGATAAATTATTTATATTGGAAACTTGAATGGCATTTTAAACAGAGAAAAAAACACATTTTCAGTGAAACTTTCGTATATAGTTTTAAGAAAGGAAACTTAAAGAAACCATTCGGGTTAAAATATAGTTAACTATTTAAGCAATATAAAAAGCTTAGTTTAATATTGAAAAATGTATGCTTAAATCAGTGCAAAAGGATTCCCAGTTTACACAAAGAGAAAACAAATATCCATAGTTTATATGTGTATTTGAATTCCTTTGCCAAGATTTGTATAATAATTTAGCTAGTAATCCACCTGAACTTCTTTGTAAAGGGACTTCCCTGGCACAGGTCATATACGTGTAGCCATGTGAGAGCATTTCGAGAGGGAGAGCGGACTCTCCTCTTTCTCGGCCGTACCAGAGCATTTAGGGGCAAATAAATAAAATGTTACTGCCATGATCCTATTTATTTGTCCCCAAATGCCTTGGTACGACCGAAAGTGGGGAGAGTTCGCTCTCGCTCTCGAAATGCTCTCAAGTGGCCACGCGTATATAACCTCTGCCAGGGAAGTCCCACTCACTGCCTTCTCGTGTCAAGGGTGTTGTTTACGAAATTGGGAGGGCGGAAAACGAATGTCCGGTGCTTTAACCGGGTTGGTGGACATGGAGAGTCCACCTAGGGGAGTTGGAAAACCCTGATTCCAAACCAATGGTGCACATGGACTCCAGTATCCTGAAGGAACAAATGGCATATGAAGCAATCGTTAGTCACTGGCTACCATATGACTGCATCTCCTTACGACGCTCCACTAACTTGTGGACCAGACCTTTATGTTGAAGGCTCCGGGTGTGGCCCCCTAAAAAACCACCTGCTTCGGTTTGGGCACCCGGGCAGTATCACAGCCCTCACACAAATCTCATTTGATTTGTGTGGCGTATATGTATCTGGTGCCCCCTTGTACAAATATTTATGTGTTCAAATAAATAAATGAAATAAACGGAATGAAATAGTAAAACACTAGCTGCAGTAAAATTTATTCCCTGGTGTACTTCAAAAACACTAAGTACATGTCTATGAAAGCAAATTGTCTCTGAACTTTCGTTTATCTGTTAAGTATTTTGAGCTAATACTTATCCTAATATAAAGTGTTTGAACAACTCTCCAGTTGTTTAAAATGTGGTTGCAACCTGAATGGTCTGTTGACGCTGGTCTTTCGACTCCTAATAAAGTTGAAATGTCTATGATAAATATGAAGCTTGAAAAAGTGGTAGAATACGTTTATGATACTATAAAAGCCCAAGTTTATGGGAGGTGGTCATGAACTATTACTTATTAGCTTAGCGATATCATAAACCTCACATTGTTCTTGAACAGTAGTCATTATAAGTTGTATAAAAAGATGGTAGTCCTATTATAATAATCAAAAATAAGCTGATTTGACTAAAACAATTCCCGGTCTTGAAACTTGTGCTCACTGAACGCGTAAAAGTTTGTTCAAGAACGTTAGTGTATTTAGTAAGTAGAACGATGAAATAGTCCCATCAACAAATAATGGCTGATCACTGAGGAAATTTTGCAAAGGACACGAAAAGCCTAGTTAATATTTACCAATATTTTCTGTTTGTAAGACCAGTGAAACATTTAACTGCCTGTCAAACATAAAATAGATACAATGATCCCTTAAGCTATTCAGCTTTATCCCTGAAGCATGAGTAAAAGATGTACTTATGCTCGAAATATTCCATCACTTGCATTCTTAAATCAATGCAATAACACAGTGAAATTATTGTACCAACAATCGTTTTACTATGACTATTTTTTTACATACGGGCGACAAGTTTGTCAAATCTCCAGCTACTTGTGATTTATTCGTTTAAAATGTATTTATAATAGTCGTACTTGACACTTGCATTTTAATCTTATTGACGAGGTGTAGTAACATAAGCTAATGTATTTTGTACTAGGATCTATGTTAATGTATTTTCCAGTATTGTTAAAAATATTTTTTCCCCTGTTAAACCAGAATGAAATTTCTGTCTCTATTGATAGCACTTTTTTAAGTGATTCGGAACAATCTAGTTTCTTTTTTATTTATTCCCTTTATCTGGTATATGATGGTAAACATATTCTTAGAAGTCAAACTAGGTTCACTTTGAACTTCACTTATTAATGGTATATTATTTTTAATTAATTTCGTAATTGGTTGACTGGATTAACAGTTGCCATCCACTTGAGTTTTGTATTTTATGTCTTATTCAGTAGTATTCAATCAACTATTCTAACTACAGAAAAATTTGTTATATTTAAATATTTAGTACTAAACAGATAATGGACAGTGACTATGTTTCCAGCATAACCTTCAGTTAAATAAGATGGTGGTGAAATATTCTTGAAGCGGATCCTGGATCCTGATAACCGATCTAAAATCTTAATGAAGTCGATGCTTGCTTGGAATTCAAGTTCGTCTTATTTAGCAACACAATGTGACATTGATTCTAATCTATTCATTGCACGAACTGGCTTTCTCTTTACAGTAATCAAGTAGCGAGTAATATGCAATGCCATATTTTTCCCGAAGTGCTAGTTTATAAAATTGTAATGCAGATACTAGTCTAAGTGATTCGACATAGTTGTGTACTTTGATGGTAAGTGGTTGAAACTAATCAATAGGAAACTTTACCTGATCACACTATAATAGGCTTGGACCAGTTCGGACCCATGTATCATGACACGTGATATGCTTTCGTGAATACTGAGACTAATAAAAACTTGCATCGAAAATGTGTGAAAAATTTTATACACTTAATAACGCAAACATAACAGTATAAACCCGTTTTCCACACTTTAAATCATGGGCTGATCTTAGTTAGACAACTACTGATGACTAGACGTTCTCGATAGTTGTTTCGTTCTAGTATGGAACCCTTCAGAAGCGTGCATTTAGATAAAGTGAACGAAGTTTCAACAGAATTGATTCACATGTACTTTTTTTAATCGAATCTAAATTGATGATATTAACAATAGTCTACAAATATAAAAGGGCACATTTTTCAGTAATCTACCTTTGAAACGTGATTATATTGTTAATAAGTATTTTCCATCTAATAAATATCCCTTAGATACTTATCTATATAAAGTGTGAAAAATATTGATGCTTAAAATTGAGTAGTGTCAGCAATAATTTCATGTAGACTTTTTAAATAACATAAATTGCACCGTATCAGAATTCAATGATCAGAAGTGACTATGGTTATTCGTTAAGTCAAAATTTATTTATCCAATCAGTAAAAACAGTTTGTTACCAATGGTTCGTTGATATTTAGTATCATGGGGATTTTAAAAATTATTTTAGATTCATATCACAACGTGAAGCTATAGAGCAATAAGATGACTTTTTTCTTTTTCGAAATTAAAACATAATACAGATGTTCAAAAGTCTCATTGTATTTATTCACACTTGTAATATCATTGACTTAGCGATAAGGTAAAATTCCAAACCCGAATATTATAGCGTAGAAAAAAAGGGGCTTGATTCTGGGGGGGGCGGAATTCAATTTAATAATTCAGTCAATCAAACATGAACACTAGAGAATAAGTTAGGGAGTATCAGTTTAACTGTATTTGCCATTAAAAGCATTTCACTATGACGATGTTGTGAATTCTATACATGGATTAAGTTATCGTTTAATTTGTATTAAGTTCAGTGTATCCAAGCTTGACTACTGTTCAGATAAATAAATCAGATACGACTCAATATATTTTGATAGTTGTTGATCAGAGGTTGGATCACTTGTGAATTTATTATTCTTGCATAATAAATCCTTCATTTCCGGTTTTACCTTATTCATTCCATCAAGCAGTATCAGTATTTTTTTAGTTATAACAAGTAAAGATTTCGACGTTTCTTCAGATTACAACAAGATGGAAAAGCATTTAAATAATCTAAACAGCGTAAATCACTTACCGGAGTGACGAACTTGAATTCGATCATCAAGATGTTTAGATTTTCGTTTCACGTTAAGTTTCATTTCAATTTTACTAAGCTTTGACGGTTTCTGAATATTTTTTTCCTATAAGTTAAAAAAGTGAATAGATGTTTAGGTTAAATAAAGTATTCACACTCGGTAGTGTATGGTCACTTTCAGGAATACTGATAAGGTTACTAATTAGTACATACAAGATACCCTTTTTATATACGAAAGGTAGTTCAAGGCATTCTAAGTTAGATAATCCAAGGTATACCTCATAACATATTCATATGATACAACGGAGAAACACAAGCCCCTATTACTATTAATAATGAATATGATACCCGTTTAACAAGTTAGTGATCATCTGCACTAAATAACCTAGAGGATAAAGCGTTGAGGTTTGAAGTAATAAGTACTGCGTATGCGTAATAGCTTGAACTTATACAACGATGAGACTTGAACGGGATGAAAAGCTCACTCTGAACTATTCTGCTGGTTAAAACGCCAAAATTTAGTGAACCGATGATCTAAGACAATGTTTAAACATTCGCTCAATGGGAATAAGCAGGAAGAGAGACTGATCAAATGAAATCCTGAAAATTAAAAATGGAAAAATGCACTTACCAGTATATTAAAAACATACGGTCTAAAGTTTAGAACGTGAATAATTTATTCAAAGACACGTTGTTACGAAAGAAATATTTTTAAAGAAATAAAACACCAGTTATTTCGTAGTTTTCTTTAAACTATATTTGAAATAATAACATTAAGATGCCTGTTTTCGAAACCAGCCAGAAAAATTGATCATAAGAAAAGGGATATTGATTCATCTTACTCTTCAGTCGAAATATTGTGCTTCTTTAAATATTCATTAGTAATTTCTATTCATGCCTTTTGTACTAGTGTGAATAACGATGGCAAAAGTAGGTCAGATATTGATATGAATTGGTTTCTCTCTGTGTTTGAAATTAAGAAGCGAAACAAGTTGGATTGAATCGCCTTCTTCTGGGTTAAAAAGTCAATGTAACTGTCCTTCCGGACATGACTTCGAGGAATATATTTCGGTCAATTATGGAAATTGAAATAAGAAACAACTCAATTAATACCAACAAAACGCCTTTCACAAAGATTGCTAGATTAATAGTTTACCTACAATTATTATTTAAAACTAGAAATCCTTGTGTTAGAGAGATGAACTGCCATCTAACAACCCTGAATTTTTCGTGACTATGACTAGGAGATCCAGATCTTTTATTTTTAAACTGTAACTGGACTATGGCAAGATGATAATTTATGGACGAATTAATCAGATATAAGGTAACCGGTCTTAGATTTCGGGACAAAATTCATTCATCCGTTTGGCTAAATAGCATTTCGGCATTTTAGTTTATGTCAGTTAGTGACGATAATGCTAAATCTAGTTCCTGACCCTAACCATAAACTGTAAGTCATAACTCTAATTCTTCACACTGCTTTATAACCCTCATTTAGTCCTAGTTAGTGGGTGGACATTCTCAAAGTCACTTTAGCGCTGCCTAAAGAACGTCCATAAATTATAGTCTCACTATTTAAATGATAGTTCAGCAATATATTTCATTGCCCAACTATGTCTAAAAAATAACAAATAACATATTGTAATATTTCTCAACAAGAGTATGAGTTGGTAATACACTGTACAATAAGTTGATATCTGAATTTAGTTTAAATCGTGATCATAAATTGAATTAATTGTATAGACACCCATGAGTAGCATTCTGTTAGGGCGTTTATATAAATGATAATTGCTTCTTACTTAGGTAATGTGTTTTAATTTTAAATCAATATCTTCATGTGCATTCAAGGTATTTTCCCGTCTTTAAGATTTTATTAATTTTCAGCAACCCGAGTGTGTTTCGGTCAGGGAGTTAATAGGTTACAATCAACTTAGAGTCTGGCATGAATGTGCTATAGCTCAACTCTCCATATCACAGTCGCACGATGAGATAAAGTTAACAAGATGATTCGTGAAAAAATCGAAATGATATAGTAGCTATAATAATGATAATAGCTAAATATAGGCAAAGCTATACAAAAAGTCAGAAATGAAAAGGTATCTATGTAGAAGTGCTGAAACTGAGGATCTAGAATAAGGTAGAGAGTGAACTAATCTGCGTTTTATAATCGGCTATAAACCATATAGCCCAAGATCTCCAAGTAGTGGCTGTGTGGCGAAGGTTCTGACCAGATAGTTTGTATCTCACAAAATGGATCGGACCAACAGTCAATTGATTTATGGAATGATGCTTCGCTTTAGTGTAGCGATTCATCGACTTCTTCGAGTTTGTTATTACACTGACATCACCTATCGTGGTAGCTGGTGGTTGGGAATACTTAAAATACATCCTAAAATCACATAAAATTGCATTCAAGAGCCATTTTTTTCTAGGTATTAACATAGTAATATGGACTTTTGGGTAAACGAGATCCGAGAATCTGCTAGAAAGTGATTGATTTGTGAGAACAAGTTTTTTTGTACTTTTGAAAATAATAATAAAGGTGAACTACCTACTTTTATATGAATTGGTTCCAACTGAATATTCGATTTGCTTGTTGTTTCATAAGGATCAAAAGATTTTGCTGTAACCTTGAAAGCGCTTGGTGGTCTGTAGCCAGTTCTTGTTTGTAATGTGTTTAATAGTGATCTTGTTTTATCTTTAGGTGTAAATGGCCTACATGTTGAAACAGAACGAAGCCAATCTCTTGATTCTTTGACTATTTGAGCAGATGTTGACGCACCCTCAGGTAACTCATAAAATGCTCTAACTGGGTTAGAATTTGTGGTAACTGTTCGGTTTAACAGGTCTGAATTAGATGTACCCTTCTTCAAACTAGGAGTTGCCATCTACAGTTAGAAAAAAATAGTTATATGTGAGTATTATTTATAAGTGAATTAAGCATAGCCTTTCATCGATAGCTAGTAGTAGAATAAAAGAAATTTTAGTGGGGTATTGGTTGGAGTTGACTTAATTAAAACGCCTTAATATTTTGAATTTTAACCAATGTGATATCATAACTTATTAATGATAAAGATAATAAGCACAAGGAAAGAATAAGGTTAGTTCTAAAAATGTGGACAGTTTGATTAGAACATAGAAGTCTGATGTGTTACCAATAACTGTGTGGCATGAAAACTTTTAATCTAATTTCATACAAGATTGCTTAATTATACACTCTTGAGGAGCCACACATTGAGATAACTAATTTAGTTGGCTGTTGTCTTCGATGGTTCTCTACATGACGAAAAGCAAAACGGCTTTTACGAACTACCTTATCGTACGAAATATCGAGTTCACTGGTAAAATGTATATAGCAAAATGTTACTTTGCTGGCCAATAAGTATAAAGATTCTAAATCGGTGGTAATGTTTAAAAAATATTGTTAGAAATTAGAGAACAAATACATCGATTTCTTCCCTACTAAGTGTTCGTAAGCTAATTTATATTAGTCCCCTAGACTTTTGCAAACGAGATAGGACGAATTTATTTCATTTCGTAATACTTGCTTTTTCCACTCTACTGTAGTTTGTAAGGTTATATATTGTGTAACTTGCACAATATAATTGAAATAAACTTTTAAGAACATGGCGTAAATTAGTCCATCTAATTTCAGTGATTTCTTATTAGCCGGTGCTTGAAAGACCCTAAATTAACCCTAGCCAAATCGTAAATATAACAATGTCAACGGCTGGTGGCTGTAGAAATCGATGAGAATAAACTAGGGCCAGGTACAAGTTGATCAAGATTTTTTATGAACTCCTTACTTGCTGTTGATAGCGTTTTTAAACACAAGCTCTGGTTTACCTCAGTGAATCTACCAAAACCCCACGTTTATGTTGGTGCATATTATCAAGGGCTAGCCTATTCCAAGCATGACATCACTTTTATCTAATTTAGAGGTTAAAGTATTTTGAAGTTCAGAAGATCCACCATCAAGCCGGTGATGGTTCCAACCCAGCGGCATGCAACTCAACTTTGAAACAAACACACATACAGAAAGAGAAGAAGAATAGTCTACAACCTACACTCCCGTGATGATGAATGACGTTTTTTTCAAACCACGTTCATAATGCCGTAAACGAATAAAATGCTGAGTGAGAGCGAAATTGATGAGAGTAGCAATAGAAGCAACTCCGTCACCCAAGAATGCATCGCAGTCGGTATCAGTGAATATATTATAAACTCACTTCATAGTTGTACAGTTGAAGTGGAGCATAGGAAACCTAGGTTTACTCAATAAATGCTTTATCTACAGGTGGAAGGGAAATAAACGACCATGAGAGTAACCTCCAACCATACAAACAACGAGAATCGGAAACCAACCTTAGAGATTCTTAGTAAAAACTTTGATAAATCCATATTAAAACCAGTCCCTTGGGTCTGTAACAATTCTGAGTAAACTAGTCATTGTAAACACAAATAGCGATAAAAGGGTGGTCCAGGATTTCTTGACTTCATTAATTCTTCAAATGATGTTGCTTAAGATTAGACATTTTAAAACCGTACTCAATTGTAACGAAACCACTTTAGTAGAAAATTACGACCACAAAAATAAGAATAGATTATAGCCAGAATCTGCAAGTGTATATTTAGCGTTTTAAAACCAACAAATCGGATTGAAGATGAATGTAAAATTAAGAGATAACACAATCCTATCAAGCTAACTCTATATATAAGACAACGGACAAATCACGATTAAAAATGAGTAGGTTATGAATTTGTGTGAAAATTTACCCAAATAAATATAGTAAGTGGTTACAAACTTGCTAACAACAATGAATCCAATCCTGTCGTTAATAATATTAAACAAGATGACGCTTCATATCAGTACAGAGAGAAAAACAAATAAGAAAGAGAGCAGATAAACTGAACTACGTGTATCAATAATACTGAACAACAAAGTTAGATAATTAAGGTTTAAGAGAACAAATGAAGTAGATCACTAGAAAGTAGGCAGTGATACCAAAGTAAAGTTACAGGCAAAGTATAGAAGGAATGTTACTGTTCCTCAACTTAATTTTCGCTTTGCAAGGAATCACACAAAGACCTCGAAAGTATAAATTTCTAGTGCGACGATATCTTACGTTCCACTATAAGCAAAAGAATATCTAAATGGTCTTTAAAGATTATGACAGTGAATCGACAGTCTAAACACCCACAATACTGCATAATTTGAATGCTTAGAATTGGTCAAAAACCGTCCCGACCTTAGATCACTCTTATTGCCACTACTAATCTATTCGAAAATAACTGTTTTTTCCAACATGCTATCTACCTGAAGAAGACTCAACCTTTCATAGATTTTTTGAGAGCTTTTTCCAAGCCCTATAGAAGCACTAGCAGGTAGGTCAAAATATCTGTTGAGCAACCATGTACACCGAACTACTGAGTAGTATATTCGTTCTCTAACTGAAAGAACCATTTCTAACATGTAATTTAAGACTTCAATGTGTTAATTGAGTTTCACGAACTGCGATGAATAGAACCAACAACAATGTAATTGCTAAATGCAAAGTAGGAACTAAGCAGTAAATAATATTTAACAACTTTCAGTGATCTAAGTGTATAAACTTTAATAACAACGTCAAGGTAAAAAGTATATTTGTTCATGTATTATTTATGGATTTTACAAAGGAATTCAACAGTCTTTAGAATGATATAAGTTATCACCTATGGTCCACAATTTTTTTTAAGAAATACCAAGTTCTACAAGAAGTTCTACGTTAAACGAGCAGTAAATTTGCTCTAGTGGCTTTGGTGTGTCACTTTTTGTTTATTTTTGCTTTTGTCTCATACAGCTAATCTTCCATGAAACTCAGTAGTACGGATAAAGTTAGTTTACTTAAAGTTTTAGGCTGTAGAGAAGACAACTGAGAGTAACGATAACCTAAATATCAGAAAATTTTGAGCTTTTACTGAACACAGCAATAACCCATGAGGTTTTGTATTATCCGAAAGACTGACTGAAGGGAAGTATAGTCTAAAGTTCCCTACCTTCCTTCAAATATTTACGATTCCAGAATAATTTTATCAAGTGGGCACACGGAAGGTGACTTTAAAACGCTCATATCTTTTCTCCTTTCTCTAATTGTAAGAAATGAGGTGACTTAAGACTGATTTAGGTCTCTGTATATCATCTGTTATCGCTCCTCTAAGACCAATCATCTTCAAGGGAGCCGTAAAAGGGTTCAAGTATTGCGACTAGATTAACCTAGGGTGGGGCTATGGTTTTCAGTGGTCAACAAATGGAATCTCTTAACCTAAACGAGTTGCATCAATCTCGTCGGTGAACACTCATGGGAAAAATAAATCTCTACTGTAAAACACTGCAAGTATTAACACATTTCAACTGACTTACTATACTTACTATAGAAGTGTGATTGGCTTATAACATTTTGACTAGTTTAAACTACCTTACCAGGAATAAAACGACCAGGAACATTTGTGTATACACTTCAGGGAACAAGTAATACATGACCTCGACAAAGAGTGTAGAAATGGATGGAACTTCATTCTATGCAACTCGGGTTCCGTGTTTCTGCGTGATCATATAGAATGGTCACAACTCTATCGGTAAACGACTTTAAAGGGAAGCCTAGTCATAAAGTTACAAAATGCTTACATCAAGTAGAGCAACAGTGTGGTTAGGATAAATATTGGTTTTTATATGTATTTGCTTCAGATTATTATTTTTATCCTTGTTTCTCCTCAACTTCGTCTGAATTTAGTATCATTGTGACTCTCATATTTTTCAACCATCATCGTTGAACTCTTATAAATGCTTTTCAACCAACAGTCAAGTATTTACAGAACCTTATGAAGAGAAGAACCTTAAAACTATGTTTTCAGATGCAATTTACTTATGACTGTTTTTAAATGCAAATAATCAGTTCGATTCAAAAAGGTCGAATTCTAGTGCATGATGCACAAAAAATCCATATATTGCGTTCAAATTGGTTACAAAACAAAGAACTCATAAGTCCAGGGTTGAAAATATTATATAAATGTAATTAATAAAAATTCAACCTTGATATTCCAAAAGCGCAAAGGGTCTGACAACTGGAATAATGAGATGTCAGGAGTAGTAATTAGTCCGATAAAAACGTTTAAACCAACGGCTTAAGTTATGAGATATATAGATTACGACCAAATCTTACTGACAATCAAGATTTCTAAAACTTAGTTATACATACGTTTTAAAGACAGCTATCAAAATGAACACGGCTCTTAAAATCATGTCCGACCAAAAATACTTAATTAAAACTGGATTTTCTGTACACAACAAATAGATCATTCATCGAACTCACAAATATTTATAAAGCATTAAACCAAGTCTTTCACCAAGATTAAGTGAGCTTGGACAGTGAAGGCTGTTTCAGATAAAAGGTGACAATATAAAAGACCTTTCCGCTCAAACCCGGTTTTTTTCAAGTCTTTGATGCTTTGAATTATTTCGACAATTTGTTTACGCAGTAACGCACAAACTTGAAAACTTGTCAAGGTTTGCGTCCGCAAAAACAACATAAAATTATAATAGCATAGCTTTAAATTAGTCATCGTATTTTGTGTAAAGAATGAGTGATAATTTATTTCTATATTTTATTCGTCGTCATGACGAGTAAACGCGGACTTTTGAAATTGTTCAGTTATCGAATTTCTCTTGTTAGTTCATTTCTCGACCAATATCCCTTCATACGTAAGGCTTCAGTTCATTACCTTTTACGTGTTTTTACTGTTTTTGGGCGAAAAGATTTGTATAGACGAAAGACATATTTATCTATCGTACAGTAGTGGAAGTCCTAACCACGACTACTGCATTCGAATAGCTTCACAGTATTTATTGAACTCTGACAAAGACCTTATACGATATCTTGGTACTTGGAAGCAATAATAAAGATACATTGCTGGGTTTTTCTGTGTTTATAGCTATTCACAATAATGTTTGACCCCACACGTATATTAATTTTACATGTTTTGTTAACCAACTCTATAAATGAAAAAACGAATACGGCTGATTATAATCCTAACATATACATTTCTTGTTTGCTAGAGTCTTCATTTTTATCTCCTGACCCTAATGTGTTTTGTTTATGGTTATCAGCGAGCCACGAAATCAGTTCATGGACTCAAATTAAAGCCATATGAAGAGCTCCTTCAATCCCTAAACCTCTACCGATTACAGCACAAGCATCTTAGAGGTAACCTTCTTATTGCTTACAGTATCCTTAACACTCCTGAGAATCCCCTTGAACACCTGCTTAAGTTTAGCTCCAACACAAATCCAAGGGGTAACACCCAGAAACTGGAAACACAACACAGCTGAACGGACTGTATGCACAACTTTTACTCCTTAAGAGTTATCAAATGCTGGAACTCGCTTCCAGATGAGCTATTCTAAGCAACTCTCCACAAATCCTTTAATAGGAAACGACCTATTCTTAAAGAGTAAGGATAATTTCATACTATGAGTTACCAATTTCTTTTTCCTCTATTATCATTAATATAGCTGGGTTCCTGCCTGAAGGCATTGGTGATCCACTGCCACGGCCAGACTATAATTTGTGGACGAAACAATCAGATTTGCGTTGATATTTCTTGGATTTTGGTGCGAAATTCTTTATCCATTTGACTTGATAATGTCTTGACGTTTTAGATTATGTTAGTTTGTGATGAAACCACTAGATCTAATCCTTATCCATCAACTGTAAATCACAATCCTCATCCTTCACTTTGGTTTGAAACCCTCATTTAGTTTAGTCAGTAGGTGGACATTATCAAGGCCGCTTTAGCGTCGCTCAAAGGTCTTCCATAAATCTTAGTCTCATCGAAACGCTCAGAAGAATGCTGGGAAAAGACTAACTCAGACCCTTAATCATCTGCCTTGAGCATGAACGTCTGCAACTGTCTAACATAGACATGTAAATTGTACATTCATAAATACCATTTTGTGATTAGAAACTTTTGGGCTTCCGATTTCTTTCAGCATGTATATTCTTTCACAATTTCTTGTTTTATTCTTTTCAACTTTTGGTTTTTTATGTATACGTAACAAATCGGTTTACCTTTTCCTCATTAAATTTTTAGACATATATTCCTTCATGTTTTCCCTAATCTTCTGTTTTTCTTCTCTCAATTTCGCTTATATTTTCCTGCTGAGTCTGCGTTCGTAACACTTATACGATGAGATCACATTTTTTGACTATGCTTATAGCAGTTTGAGTTTGGTAAAGCCAGAGTGCTGGCAAAGGAAATTTTTCAGCTGATTTAGTTTCATTTTGAATGTGTTGACAGATGACGCTTAAAATACGCATCGAAGTGGATAGTTCTATTTGTTAGAGGTTCGATGAGAGTTGATAATCAGCTGACAAGTAACGAGTTATGGGTTTATTAGCTCTTTTGCCTTCCTAAATTTTTCGTCTCGGAAGACATAAGAAATAATTATATGATCTGACAACGACAACCAAGCCACTCCTAAAACTCCTATACAACAAGTTGTGTTAAATAAAGAAATGCTGGGGTTAACCAATTTGTTGATTAATGCGAAATTACAGAGTGCGTTGGTAAAATATAAAAACCGTACATTAAATACATTGTTTGTACATCTTTCTTCAGTTGTATTTTATACGCCCAATGATTCCTTCAACTCTTTTTATTACAGCTGCTCGCTTTTTGACATTTATGTTCTCTTCAATTTAATTTTCTGCTCCCAGGTATTCCAATTTTGATAGGAGTTACATACTGCTAACATTTTCCAACTTAGGTAGTATACACAACAAAGGGAGTAGATTGAATTTATACAGTCACCCGTGGGACTGTAACTTAAAAGCCCCAAAAGTCATCTTAGGTACAATTCATTAAAAATATTCTTCTATATCATCCTTTTATTACTTTTACTTTATTGCACATTCAGTGCACAACATGAAAAGTCCTTATTACCACCTTCATCAAATTTCCTTCAAATTGAAGGCCAACTATTTACTTATGCAAATGCTATTTTAAAGTTGTGATTGTTTTAATAAAGCACAAACAAATACTGGTGCAGAATAGTATGAATTCATAATATTTCAAGGTTTCTCAACAGCTGCTTACAAACAAAAAATGTGATAGAATTTTTACATTGAGATGGTGAGAAACAATTGAAATAAATGAGTGTAAATAACTGAATTACAATTATATATATATATGGTGTAATAGTTTAGTGAAGTTCATAAATTGTGTGATAATTTTAGAGATTAATGGAATTGAATAATGATAAGATGGGTTACATAATAATAATTAAATAGAATTTGAAAAGTTAACATAATTTAAGAGGATCAGGTGGTGGAAATGTGTGAACAATAAGTTGGTTTAAGAATTAGGTAATAGGGGAGGAGTATAACACAAAATAAATATTTTAAAATAAATAAATGAATAAAATAACCCAAATAACCAACAACAAAAATTGGATTATCAGGGTAATAATAAGTTTATTACTGTCTCTTTTTGAGTGCATAAATTCGGTTTAAGTTTTTTTATCGTAATTGCTTCAGCGAAGCGGAGAGTAGTCGTATTTCTTTGTCTATTGATAATTTTAAAAGCGTGCAAAATGTCGACGGTGTGCCCGGTGTCAAGTAAATGCCGAGCTATTGCACTGTTGAGAGCCTTAGTCCCTCACAGCTTCAAGTTCTTCGGAACATGCTCAGAAATGCGGACATGCACTCTTCTCTCAGCTCTTCCAATGTATGTGCTTTGGTACGTACATGTGAATTGGTAAATGCATTTGGAGCTACTAAGAAAAGAGGACTTGTCGATTTTAGTTTGTTTAAGTGAGCAGTTCGTTTGCCATACTGTCATAAATTTTGCTGTTGGGTAAGCCACTTTCAACGCAGAAGTTAATCTGTGATTAATTAATCCGGCAATTTCCTCTCCTTTGAAACGTAAATGTAAGAAGCAGGTTTTCTTTTCTACTCCATCGTACTTTGTCCGAAGATTGGTTTTTGCATGTTTCTGGATGAATTTCAATGGGTATGCATTTTCACGTAGGACATTAATGATGAGAGTGATTTCGTCATCCAAGCATTCCTTTGAACAAATTTTACGAGCGCGGTCAAAAAGGGTTCGTACAATACCCTTTTTGTAACTCATTGGACAGAAACTATAGTAATTGAGATATAGTCCACTCCAAGTATTTTTGTGATGAATATGTCTATGAATTGTGCTATCAGATGCTAGTTTGATCCCAATATCAAGGAAACGGAATTTACCTTCAACTTCTTGTTCCATAGTAAATTCTTTATCGTTGTGAGCTTTATTAAACATATCAAGTAGTCTAATGGCGTGCTCATGATTGTTGCAGACGAGGAATGTGTCATCAATATGTCTGCAGTACATCGCAAAACCATCGATTGCATGCTCAAGCTTTTTTAGTTCCAGGTTTCCCATAAATATATCGGCGAGAATTAGGCCCAATAGGCTGCCCATGGCAACTCCATCAATTTGACGGTAAAGGACATTATTGACTTGAAATTGTATGTTTTTTGTACACAAAAAGAGGAGCTGTTTAAAATCATGGATTGGTAGAGGTAGAAGTTCAGGATATTCACATATGATCTCTATCGTTTCTTCCAAGGGGATGTTTGTGAAGAGCGATGAGGTCAAATGAAACCATAAATTTATCGGAAACATTTAGGTTGTCGAACTTTTGTACGAATTCAAAACTATCTTTTAGACTGTAGGGTGTTAGTTTCTTTCGGATTGGTTCTAGGCACCTTGTCAGCCAGCGGACGAGTTTATGGAAGGGCGAGTTAGCCATGGATAATATTGGTCTAATCGGGATGTCGGGCTTGTGAGTTTTTGGTAGGCCGTATAAGTACGGTAATTGTGATCCTTTAGGTTTAAGTTCATTGTATGTATGATTATCTATTGGATTTTTCTTCAGGAGTTCTCTCAATTTTTTTAAAAAGTCGCTTTTCTGTCGTCTCTGTTAAGTCTTTCTGGGCATTATCGAAGATAAATCTAGTGGAATCATTTAAAGTAGACATTATTTTGCTAATTTATTCATCTCTGTTAAGAACGACTACACCGGAACCCTTATCTGGACGAAGTAGCAATATTGTTTCATCTTTCACAAGTTTTTTAATGCTAGTGATCTTTAGTCAACACCTTCGATTGTGGGGTTGGTGTCGTTATGTACTGGTTTGTAATGTCAACTAATTTCAATTTCAACCAACTATGTTTTTCATCGTTCATGGGTTTAAGTTCTGACAATTGTTGATATAAATACTAAAACTGGGTTTCAGTGTCTATTCTGTTACATTTTTTCGGGATGTGAAATTTAAATCCAAGGGAGAGTGCTTCAGTTTCAATTCGAGTTAGTTTTTTACTGGGTAAATTCTGTACGTATTTTTCTGGATTCGTAGAAAAGGCGTTATGTTTTTGTTCTTTCACAAGTGTTTTGGTTAATGTCTTTAGGAATTTATGACTAGTTTTGGACTGAACGTCGTGAACGAAATTCATGAG